TTTTTTGCTCATTCGACTCATAATGTATAATGTTTTCAGGAAATTTGTGTAAGTGAATAAAATACTACTGGTTAATAAAAAAACTGTTTCATTTTTAAGCTCAATTCTTTATTTGCCGATATCTCAAAACATAAATTTTACACTTAGGCCATTGTGGTACTGAGCGACTCATATATTGAAACCAATTTTTAATGTGCTCTGAAGAATGAATATAATAATCAATTAACGTCAATCTTCGAAATGAGAACTGCACTTAAAGAACGACTTATGGAAAACATGGCTACAATTTTGTAGGTATCAAGTTTTTCAGTATATTTTAGTCAAATGTTTGGGTATATAGATCCAGAAAAAACTTATGGTTAGTATTACAAAATTAGCGAGAGATACTAACAAAGAAAATACAAAATAAAATAAAAATTAATGGATGAATTGAAACTTTTTAGTAATTATCACAAGTTTGCATAGCCAAATAATCATAATGTATAAAGATCTATTACCTACTTACTTACATGGACCCACAATATGTGAGACAAACTTATGTTGAAACAATTGATCCTCAAGATATTACACAATTTATCAACATTGACATGAAGTGTCGGGTTTTTACTTAAGATGCAGACGTTTCTTGATTACAGCTTGTAGTAAATACAAAAGAAACGATTTTGCAGATCCAGTCATGGGAAAGATACATTTTCTAAATAAAAGTAGATTTAACAGTTGCCAAACTCTTTTACCACTGTCAAAATTGCCCCGAATTTGTCATCCTAAAGACCTACAAACGAAGCAAAAGATATATGACGAATGAAGGAAACTTTAACAATATCAGGATATTTCAATAGAATTCTAAGATTTGGATAAATTCTATTTTAAAATGGGTCGAAATAAAACATTTTGGTAATCCTCTATTTGTTAATTTGAGTGTTGACTTTGCATGACTATGTTAACTTTAAATCATTCAAATGAAAGGTGTGAAAGACAAAAGTAAATTTAATGAAGGCAGTAAATTAAGTAAAGACCAAGTGCAGGAACCCCTTGGTAAGACACTTTATATGGAATTATTCATTTATCCCAATCAGTTTCACCTTCAAAATGGTTGTGTCAATTTTACAGCGTCAGAAATAATAGCCAAAACTATAATTACAAAAAGTATTCACATTAACTGAATAGTCAATATTTTTTACTTTAAGTGTTTTTCTTTTAAATAATTTGTTTATTTATTTGTCTTCGTTTATTTCTTTTACAAAAAATTAAATACCTACATTATTTTTTTTTCTCATTTTCTTGTTTACAATTTTTTACTTTTTTTGTTAATTTCTTTTTCAATAGAATATAAGTACGATAAATACTTACTTTATTTGTTCTTATTCAAAGTCATGTAAAAATTAACTTCAGTCATTCATAGGGAGAAAAGCTGTCCCATAAGGAGGATGTCCCATTACCCAGAGCATTCAAAGTAGCTTTCAGTACAAAGCCTCCTCATTCGTTATGTCGTCCTGGATGGAGAGGGTGGTTGGTTATAGCTTGCGGGTCAGATAGATACCACTCCATTAAGGAGTTTGACCGGTTGATCTTCCGACATGTGGGTCTCACTGTTCCATTGGAACACACATCACACACACGTCACTCGGAGCTGGGTTTCTACAAAAATTGTTGTGTTGTTAAGTACGATATTCCGTACTATATATAAAATACGATACTTTCAACAACGGCATATGATTTTCTGACTGCGATGACCTGGCAATGCAGTCTTACAGAAACATATTATCGATACGAATTGGTTTTGTGGCCCCGCCTACTAGTATTTCTATACCGTTTTAAATATGTTTCACTCATTTCCTACCGTTGAAAGTGCATACCCACGTTAATTTCTTTCGAAACTGTACATGGGTTACACTTGACATTATAATTTGTTGGATATGGTTTTCATATATCTATCTGGACTTTCAGCACACCGCCATATTTTTGAATATGTTTCTTCTGGAATCTGAATTTTAGATGGACTTTTTCCTTCCGACACATAGTTTCTTGAATATAAGGGCTGAATTTCGCATCACATCGATAAATACACTTTATAGACCGTTTCTACATAGAAAAACAAATATTATTTTTTAGTACTTTATTAGAATATAATTTCCATCAGTTAAATAAATAAATAAACTGCGGCATGACCAAAAAAAGCTTTAAAATAACAAAACGCCATTGAGGCAATAACCAGACACGACATTATTTATTGATTGTATCATTTGTGCAAGGTAAAAAAATAGAATAAATAATTAAAAAAAAGATTTACCCTTGGTCTATCACAATAACTAAGTTATACTGAGTGCCACATTTACAAACATCGGCTGCTTTATAAGTGAAAATACACAAGACCATATTTTTCTTTAACATAACAATTTTAATTAATAAGCAAATATGTTTTGGTAACATAGAAGTGATTTCGGTAAATTGATACAGAGTACATAAATTTTTCTGCCTGGTAGATTGATATTGCTATACTTAGCAACAACGTAGATTCACAAGTCCAAAAATAACGTTAAAAAGTTGTAATTGTGGAAGCTCAAAGTCCTAGCATTTCATATTGTTCAATATGTATCATCGTAAGACCAAAAACATATTAATTCATTCCATTAATTTCTCAGTGATACGTGTTTTTTATTAATAAGTTTTCAAAAGTTATTTTTAAACTTTATCTCATTTTAATGAATGTATGGAGGAAATTCCTTATAACAAATACGCCATTAGTAAACTTAAATAATTTGTCAATTCATTGAAAAAATAATTACCGTTTTTATATTCGTAGTCCGCATGACCCAAGATGGAAACTTATGGATAAAGGTAAAGAATGAACGCTATCCAGATGAGATGTCTGGGTTACAATACAATTTTAAATAATTTAGTTACATTAATTTAGAATAGAGGAATTATTTACCTTTGAGCTAGTACACATTATATCATATTAAGTCTGTTGAAAAATTTGCCTATATAACAATTATTTTACATTAAAGATTTTATGTTCTTTACGGATGCACCACCTCTGTACGTTAACCACTGAAGTGGTCAAGTTTTAGGAGACATTCGTTGGACTTTCCGAGTTTGAATTTGTATTAAGCCCGAGTGTCTGATGAAGCAGGTATGCTGAAATAAGTCATAACACTCTATTGATACCGATTCGAGCACGGGAAGTTAAGCGAATTTGGACCTTCTAGACCATATATTTGGCCATGTAATTCAACAAAGCAATAACAGCTTTTGCTAAAAGATTTAATCTTTTACCTATATTATCACTTTAGAATATCACTGATAATAGAAAGGACAAAATAATATATTTTGCACACCAATTTATGGAGTACAAATGATAGAACTTTCAATCCTGGTTAGAGAGATGTCATATGTGTTTTTATTGATATCAAAAAGTTTTTTGTTATACAAAAACCTAAATATTGGCCATAAGCAATGATTTACTGTATTTCTAATAAACTGTGTCACTAACACCAGAAATGATGTGAGAGATTTAAGTAGTAATACCGTGATCTTTATAAATATGAAATTGAATTAACAATACGATGTGTTTTAGATCAACCTTAGTTTATTATAACTGTGTAGCAATAATTATTATCTACAGTCGTAAAAGCTTTACATATTACATATATATTTTAATAAGATGTTTGTGAAACAACGGCTAACAAATTCAAACTTCTTTTCTAATACCACTCTTTTAGCCACAATTCTTTTTAAGGGAATTAAATATCGGAAAAAGTACATTCTCTAAAACGTCTCTTTGGAGTTTACAGAAATTTTTACATTTACAATTGACAAATTTATTACAGATATTTACTAACTGTCACATTTATTAAATATATATTAGTCATTTACTCACCAATCAATTCCACATCATCCAATTGTGACGTTGTCATTTTTGAACCACGTAAATGTAAGGGATAATGAAGTAAGAAATAATACTAATATTTTTTTACAATAAAGAATAATTTTCAAATTTACGAATAATTTATGTTCATCACAATCAAAATATACATATATAAAAAGTATAAAATATTAATGAAAGCGTAACCAATTACACTGAACCTCAGCTTAATGAGAGTGTAATGGAATTACTTTAATATCTGATATTGGTGCAGATATAATTACATTTTGCTTGAAAATATGTATTATTGCAGTTTAATGAAAGATGTATTAACTATTACATAAAAATTACCTATCACTGACCAAATTGACGTTTTTTATTTTTATAGGTAATAAAATTGTTCCTATAAAATTTCAATAGACACATACCTCTTTATACACGCTGAGAACACAGGTTTCCTTTAGCCAATAAGAAGCTTTGTTGTCTTTCAGTGCTTAAAAATTTGTAGTGTTGCCATTCTGTTTTATGTATTAGTTTCTGCGAAATAGACACGGATATACCACACAGAAATATTTAAGTACTGTATCATTCTTAACATCAACTTTAAGCAAATCTATCAGCGAATATGCACTAGCTATAGTAACTATCAAACCGTATGTTGACTTCTCCAGAGTTCTTAAAATATAAAAAATGTCCTTATTCCTAAATATTTTTGTGAAAAATATGGCTGGAATGTATATTTTCAAATATATGAAAATTTCCATGCACGGTTTAACTAGAAATTGTACAAATTACATACAAAACGATGAGTAATCCTTCTCGAGAGTAACCAGATCGCTTGAACCAGTCAAGCCGGCACTCAAGATTAATAAATTATTAAGGGTGACTAAAAAAATAAGTTAAACATTTAACAAAGCCTTCACAATTTAAAAAAGAAAACAACTAGACTAGTAGTCCTACAAAGGAGTCTAAGTTACAACCGATGGACGTTTTTTTAAATCTTACATCGTTTTTAAACTTTAACAACATTTCTTCAGACTGATTCATTGGAACAGACTGATTTGTTGGAAATGGAGATATTTGTGATTCAATGTTAAAGGTGGCACATTTATTCTTCAGTATTTATCACTATATTATGTATTCATGATTGTAAAACCACCATGGATGTCTGTTATTCGTTAATAACAGATTATAGTTTTGTATGCTATTTCTTTGGCGAAGCGTTTCTTGGAATATTAAATGTATCTAGTATAAAAAAAATATTAGCGTAAACACAGCTGGCAACTTCGGGTAATTTTTTAGATTTCATTACATGGATCCGAGGCATCACAAGTATATCTGTTGTTAATTTACGATTGTTCAATATTTGCATTAATAAAATTTAAAGATCCGACTCAGTGAATCGGAACAATCCCGAATCAATCATCACTAAGCAGTACCGGATCTAGACATTTGCCTTGGGGTAATCGGGAATATCCAATGAAACAGCCACCAAAAGACAACAACTATATGCATTAAGTCCCCTTAATTTTCCTAACTTGCGGATTTATTGGGTTTGTCTGTGTTTCAAGTTTCATATCAGTAATTTTGAACCTTTGAGAGGGGGGATTTCCCTCTCCCGTATATCCACCTCTGTCACTAAGTATAAGTGTAGTTCTAATAATTCAAATATTTTTATTTAAATGATTGACATCCTATTTTTACCTTAATTGGAATTTTATTGATAAAGTCGGGTCCAGTAAAAGATGATAATGTATCTTACGTTTTACAGGAATTAGTGTCTAGAAAGGTGTTACAAAAGGTAGACTTTTTTGAATATGAAGCAATATTTTTTCCTTTTTTTTTGATAATCTTCTTATAATCAAATATTTTCTGCAAATCTGGAGGAAAATATATACGGTTACTTATTCAAAAGCTGCATAAGAATTAAGGAAAGACATAAACTGCTAGAGGAGGCTATCATTAGCTTCAAATTTGTTTGGTTAGTGGTACTAGAGATATTCGAAAAAATAAAAAAAATTTTAGTAATAATTTGTAACTGTCAGCTTTAGTTTTCACGTAATGTATCACAGAAAGACAATGTGAAAATAAAAGCCAACGAAGTTGCATTTGTCTGAAGTTACCGTCAAAATGAAAATACTGGCCGACAGATGACGATAGCATTACATATAATAACTTGTGAACTGTTCAACAAAATCGAAGTACAAGCATAAATTGATCTCATCGAAGACTTATTTGATACATACCGTGACATTGAGCGACAAGTATGTTTCCCTAAATCTGGTGAAAATATACCATTTCTCGTGTTTAGATAAAGATGTTATTTAAACATCAAAATAAAGATTTAGTATGTGATCTTCCTATTCTAGGAAACAACCAATCATTCAACTCTCTCTAGTTCCATCCCTGCTTATGGAGTATTAGTGGGTTATGCGTTTCTTGGTGAAAAGTGTAAGATTGCTGACTGACCGGGTCAGCGCTATTCATTCAGCTAAAGGATAACTATTCTCAATTGCATATTGTGACAAATAAATGTTTTCTTCAAAATCTGTTAAATATACAACCACAAATAGCAGCACGTTCGCTAAAATACTTCACTTGAGAAAGACACCATAAATACTAACGTTAATTAATAAAAAAATATATGAAAATTTAGAACCAAGTAGTTGTGAGTGTTTTATTAATAAATTAAAATACAATTATTCACAAAAAATGATATACAAAATAATAATTTTAACATTTTTTACTATTGAAGCATCAAATATAAATTGCAAAAAGGCAAAACGTCCACTTGAAATAAATTGTAGGAATACTCGTCTGAAATAAATTTACACTAAAATATTAAAACCATATCAAAATACATATTCACTTGCATATGGATTAAAACACTTTTTACAATTTGTCTAAAAAATTTAGCTAAGTGATCGACAACAGAACTAGGAGTGCCAACATACTATCAATTACGATACTAATTTAGGGATTTTCTTTCTTGAAGGTTTTCAGGACCAATCTTATAAAAATATTTAATAAATTACTTTTAGAGATGGAATAATTATAGCTGAAAAGACTTCGAAGTATCTTAAAAATTATTTTTACTTATTATGTAGACACTGCATTTCGTATTGACACTGCGAGCCACTTCTTCATGTGCCTTATCTTTTAAAGACATTGGCGATCATCACGGATCATTTTACTTGTTGTATTGTTGTTTTGCCACTCGAATGCTTTAAATTTTTTAACCAGGAGGACGTGCCTCCTCTCGCCGGTCCTCTTTTTCCTTTCACTTTCCCTTGTATAACCAACCAATCGCATCAACTCATGTTTTTCACTCATTATGTGAAAAAAGTAGCTCATTTTTCTTTCTTTTATAGTGTTGAGCTTTTTTTTCTTTTTTCACCTTTCTTATTATACTATACTAGACGTAGAAATTGGAACTATGTGGGACGAAGAATAGGGGAAGAAGATTGAGAGTCACATACTACCAAACATAAATATAAGGATTAATTATTGTAACAAAATTTCGAATCATCTAGCATGTGAATAACATAAATCTTCACATCACTATCTATCATCTTTTTTCTGCAACATGACATTTGACATATTTCTATGTGTATCTACCACGTGGTTGACCATGGTACACAACTTTATAGCATATTTATTGCCCAGGGAATCGTAAAATACCGGTGAGTGAATAGGATGCAAGGATCAAGACCTACTCTCTGTAACTGTTAAGGCTCATTTTTTCTTGGCCTTGAATATATTTTAAATATTTTCAATCACAAAGAAAAGAAAACGGCTCTGGTTTATAGACGAATGTTATTAGCACCATTTAACCTACGTGAGAGGTTTCCTAGAATTATTTTACACCAATTAAATACTGTTAGCAACTGCCAAGTGATTAACCTTGTCATTTTAATTTTTGACATAAAGAGCCAATTAGATGAATAAATAAAGATAACATTCAGATTAATTCCAAGTAGATCCCTCATTTAATTGACAATCAAATCAGAATTGAATTGGTTTATGGCATATACTGTGTTCACTAATGTAAGTAGAAGGAACTCCTTCGGGAGCTATGAGACCTTGTCGCGGTGAAGGGACTCTACTGAACAAGGTTTAGACACCAAAGAGGATGTACAACAGGTGTTAAAGCCTATCTGAAAAGATGTTTTAGGCCGCAGTGTGAAAATGTCTACGAGGTCAGACGGTCCCTTTATCTACAATCTACCTGTAGAAGTATCTTAGTGTATGTGTTTCCTGGAATTAATGCTACAAAGATTTTTATTTTCTTTTTCTCTGCAGGATGTTATAGCTAACATCAATATACATTATAAGTAAAAATATTTGTTAAAAAAAACGGCAATAAATAACATTACCAAAAATTGTATTCCTCCTCGTAAAAATTAACCGCCAAATAATAAAGTTTTTATAAAAAATATTAGTTTCCACTGGGGAAAATAAATTAAACTTGTTCACAAATAGCAACTTTACGATTTACTGACTTTTTATATTTGATAGCAAAATTTTAATAACAAATATGTTTGTTTTCAAGAGATTTTAAAATTTGAAAAAGTAGTAGTGGCTACTGTATAGTAGTATTACTATTTGGGTATTCCACTAGATATTCAGAAAACAGATTCACAACTATTAACGAATAGTTGGCGCGTGTTCAACGCTTTTAAATATTCTTAGGCGATACTTATACTTTCATAAGAGATTTTGTTAGGGTTTATATTTTATAATATGAAGACAGTCGTCTGATACGACTATCATCCGATAACACCAGTTCCAAACTCAGACTGCACCGCAAGTACCAATTGAGTTAGAATCCAGTCACTACCAGCTTTGGTGTTTTTTCAAGGCACTCTCTATTTTCTGAATAACAAAATCTTTAAAATTATCCTATTTTGGTGAAGGTCAAGTCACACATTGAGGCTGCTTTATCAATAACGCCACTAACTTCACAGCTGTACTCTTCTCCTTTGTTCTTAGTTGAGATTTTCTTGTGCAAATATAACATAGTTTTTTTGGATACTTCATCGAAAGGACATAGTAATAAATTTATAAAATAAAACAGTTTTACTAACTATATTCAATCATTTTAGTATGTGTTTAGTGTAACTACAAATCAATTAGAATTACACACTGGGAAAAGAAATTCATAAAACTAAACTAACTCTGTAACAAAAAGTTCCTAGTTTAGACAAAGATTGGTCCTTTAAGGCCTTATTAATCTAGTACCTTCAGTTAAATTAAAAACGCGGTACAAAAATTAGAATTAACTAACTCAAAAAATCGCTGTAAACGTTGCAGCGTTTTAAAGATAAAACGGCAAGCAAATTGTTTTTTAGTGTTAACACTTAATTCGACAGGAAGCTAGAAGTGATCGAAAAATAAAAATGAACAATTTATTAAAACAATTTGCCAACAATCTGTTACAATACTCGATTAATTTGTTTCATTTTCAATGCAATGAAGTGCACCTTATACTACAGAAATATCTAAGCTGTAAGCACATTGAAGAGCGAGTCTGGAGGAGCAATTTTTTTTCTTGTCTGTTCCAAAAACTGCTGGCGGCAGACTCGCGCGAAGTATCGGCAATATTTTTGGTATTACAGTTTTATGGATTTTGCTTACTAAAAATGTCTCAAGCACCTGACCAGATGGTTGGCGACTCAATCTGAAAAAACAATGAACTTTATTAGCTACAAAAAAAAATAGTTAGTAGTTAGTAGTAAACGAAAAATAGAACGGTAAAAACAAATATTTTGAAACAGACCGATGAGGGGAAGCAAAGCTTTCTTATCGTTCACGCATGGAGCGATGGTTTTTAATTTAATTATTTCTGTTTTATTATTTTATATTATATTATTTTATTTTATGTTTATTTTATTTCATGTTATTTTATTTTATTAAGAAAAGCGTATGGGACTGCATTTACTACTCCACGTAGTGTGTAGTCACGTGATCTGTCGTTTCATTGCATTTCAATCTTTTTTTATTTTTTTCATACCTTTTCATACCTACATTAACACATGTTAAATATTATTAAATAAAAATTGTAATAGTCTCTGTAGCAAATATTTAACTTTCAATGGTATACCCGCAATTTTATTTATGGTATTTTTATTTTAAAGGAACCAATATAATGCGCTCGATCCTATAATGAATAGAATTAGAAGCTCTAATAAAGATAACTTTAAGTATGAATGCTGAAAATTTGTAAGCTTCTAACATAAAAATGATACAAGAAGATAGTTCAGAACCATAATCTCTCTGGCCAGCATAACAATTTCTCCTACATTTTCAATCCTGCACCAAACTCTTATATCTTGCAGCCACGAATATTGCCTTCTTTCTGGACCTCTTCTTCCCTCTTCCCATTAAAATCGTTTGTAAAAAGTTTGTAACAATTCACGATCGGTTTTAGATCTTTTTAACCCTTCCTCGTTTGTTACATGATCAACCTAAGAGAAACGCAGTAGCATAAGAGTCCATATTTCAAATGCTTCTATGCGATTCATTGATTTTAGTTGGACGGACCATGTTGCAGCCTGTATTATTTCTTTTTATCTCTTTTACAAGTTGAATAATGATTGAAATAAAAGAAAACAACATGACATATTTAGCATTAAAATGGCCAATGTAATATGACGCCGCATTATTGTCACAGTCATATAAAGATCAACAATAAGTAGTAAATAAAATATTGGAGAAGTGAATACTTCTTATAGTCCGTTATTACTAATATGTCGTTTAATAAAATTTTATGAGTGTTTTATTTTAATTTTATTTTAATGTATTTTATTTTACATATGTTATTGGAAGCATGGCTTTCTTATCGCGGTCTACAGACTGAGCGGTAGATTGCAGAGGCGTGAAAAATAAAACCAATACCTGTAATGACTGTAATGATAGATCGCGTGACCACACACTTTGCGCGACCACACACTATGTGGAGTAGTAAACACAATCCCTTCGAATTGAATAGTATCAAATCAAATATCGAATGGAATCGAATCGAGTCGCATCTTATCGGATCTAGTCGAATCGGTGGGTAAACTCTGTGTTATGTTGATATCAATAGTCGCCAAAAAACGATACGTGTCGTACTTTGTCTTCCATTTCAAGGTGTCAATTGTAGTTTTGTATCAACTTATTTGTAGCTATGGCCTCGCTTCTACTCAACACCTTCAGACGTACTGTTTTAGAGAGAGACACACGTCGCTTGATAATTGGAGGCATTGGTTAGAAAGACTGTTATTGTTAGATCATCGAGCAATAAGACAAAAGAGGGAATCTAATCCTTATGAAAAGGAGACCAAAAAAGTAGCCTCTGATGGCGGACATATCCGGAAATGCGAATGCGCGAAATTTAAATTTTACGACACTTATTAACAGTAGCTAAAAAATAATTTTCAAAATGTGTCTTAGACGAGAAAGTTTTAATTAATTATTAATGATAAGAGTCTAAAATGCGACACAATTGTTAAAAAACTTCAATATAAATAAGATTTCATGTGACATTTGGGATAAACAATAACATAACCCAACTAAATTTGATGTCAAACAAGGAGAGAGACTCTCTTTCCTTGTTTAAAGTGGCCTCTAAAGATCGCACTTCCTGTCTAACAATATGTTTGCCCCCACTACCTTTACATTCCCTCTATTGTCTTTTTGCTCGATGTGTTAGATACAACTAATAGGTAAAAGCGTTAAAAATTTAGGTTAGAGTTAGAGGTTTGTTTATATGTAAACATCGTGTCGTATAACCGTATCGTATAAATCTTATTTTTTTGGTATTTTTCACTTCAATGGAGTTAGCAAGAAATTCACTTCAGTAGCAAGAAATTGGAGGGTACCAAAAAACTTTATTGCAACTGAGATATGGAATATACAGAGATATAATCCATTTAATGTATCTCTTGCTATGTCTTTGGTTAAACGATACAATCCTTTAAACTAAAAATATGTTAGTTGATTGAAAGGATCACTTTCATCTCTAAGTAAACGCCTATTAATTTTAAAGTATCTCAATACTCTTAGCCTCTCCTCATCCTCAAAAACTAATACGTTCATATTGTTCACAGGCAACATTATCACTCAATATACCTTACCTACTAAAGAAACTACTTTTAAAATAAATTAAATTGTAATATACTTAGTAACACCAAGACGAAAATGTCACCCTAAAATTATAAAGTCTAAAATTAAAAATGTTGCATTGTAATTGGATATAATTTTTTAATAAAAAACGAGTAACCAATAACGATGTACGTTTAACAGAACGAATCTTGAATCTGTATATCTACATTAACTATTGCCAATATTAGAAACACAAATAACAATTAATGGTTTTGGAGTGAATAATATGACCTCGAAAATATCCGAAGCAAAAGCAACACTGACACAGAGTACCAAAATAATGAGATGTACTAATGAAAGTCGCAATAAAATATCCGTTTCTACATGTTGCAAGCAACATGACACAGGGTTCCACACACAGCGGATCGAATTAAATCGAATAAAATCGCGTTGAGTCGAGGAGAGTCGAATCCACTCAAATCGGATCGATTCGAATCGGATCAAAGCGAATCGAATGGAATCGGGAACAGTCGAATCGAATTAACTCAAATCGAATGGAATCGAGTCAAGTCGAAGCGGATCGAATGGAATCGAGTCGAATAGAATCGAATCTAAATAAAATAAAAATAAAATAAATAATTAAATTTAATCAAAAACCATAGTTCCATGCTTAAACGATAAGAAAGCTATACTTCCCCTTCTCGATCACCCCCGGAATGCCATATCCCGTTTTTATTTTATACAAATATTTCCAAATTAAAATTAGCCAAATATGTCCAAGTCGTTCTCGAGTTGATATAAAAAATAGAATGAAGTTTGTTAAACGTAATTTTATATTTATAATAAGTGTAGTTTAAATGATTTTACACCTGAACTTTATCTACTATTATATCCTAAAAGTTTTCAATAAGACACCTTTGGTGTAACAGCCTCGTGTAATTCGTTCCAAAGTCAATTTATCTTTAATTCTTTAATTTTTTTTATTGTCAATAAAAAAAATTTTAATGTTACATCCAAATATTCATCGATGCAACGCGATCTTATACTTCGATGTTGACTGTTCCCATCATTGCAACAGAAATGAATTAATTAATCATCGAACGATGATTAATTAGGCTGTTCACTAATTAACCTGAGCAGGTTTGGAGTATTACAAGAAAAGTGAGTTGTACCTTAATGAAGAAGAATACTTGCGATAGTATGAAATGAACATTCTAACATTTGGTTGACATATCTAAAATGGCCTCCGTGGTAGCTTCATAATATAATTCTTTTAGCGAAAGTCGATGAAGATATTTCTTAAAACGTCGTGAGTCAAAAGCTCACAAAAATGATACAGGCAATCGTTATTCGCAACGATTTTGACAAGAACGCTAATTTCGAATGATCTATCTTTCCCGTGCTAGATCCTTAGATAAACGAATATGGAATTTGACATTGTATGCCAACAATTTTACATATCTTACATAGTGCCGTACCCTGTAGAGTAGTTTCCACACTGTAATACTATATAACTCAGCCCTCCTCTTGGGATTCATCTTGTCAGCTAAATGAAATCCTCGTATGATTAAAAAACGCGTTTTGTGTATACATAACTTTTTGTAATCTTAAGTACCCTTTCAGACGAAGCCACTGGTGTCCCACACCGATGTCCGCCACCGGTGGTTCGTCAGCCGCGCAAACGAAAAACCGGTGGCTAATACCGATTAGAACCACATCAGTTTACAACATTAATCTCAACAAAATAACATTAGTGACAAATGTATTGTTAATAATTCGACGGCGACGCAGGATGAAGAGACAAATAACGAAAAGGCAATAACAAAATTTAAAAAATATTTTTCAAATTTTGATATTACCCTTTCTCATGCATTTGTTGTAGCAATGTTATTGCATATTGTTTCCCAAAGAACTAGTTCCTCTTCAACAGCAGTTATAAAATCTTCCATATTGAAATTCACATTAACTTCCATACTTAACATTTAACAAATTATTAAAACAAGACACTCAAAATGGCTCGTGTGAACGCTTTGATTCAAAACAATACTCTGCTAAAAACAAAACGGTGTCCTGCCTGGTGGCGAAGGTGAGACACACATCGGCGACTACTGAGCCACTAAAAACAGCCAGACACTAAAAGTTGCTCGTTCATTTAAAACAATGCTTTATTGCAATTGAACAACGGTGGCGGATACTGGTCCACTGTCCGGCACCAGTCGCTTCGTCTGAAAGGGTACTATTATTGTTTATTAAAATATGTTCATGATTTAGTTCACATACAAGCAAAATTCGATATATACTAGAAAATCATTTTAACGATATTGACCAAATTCTAAATTTTGATTATATTTCATATTTGTCTATATTTCCTTTGTAATATACAATCTAAGTGAGAGCGCCCACCAAAGTGGCGTGGCAAGTGGCAAGTGACAGGTAGCACGCGTCTAGCATGTTATTTAAAATGTAACCAATCCAAACGAATGATTAGAATGAATGACGTCAATGTCATTTTGGTGTGAACTGAATCATTCGTTTTCATTGGTTACATTTTAAGTAACATGCTAGACGCGTGCTACTTGCTACTTGCCACGCCACTTTGGTGGGCGCTCTCCCTTACGTCTACCGTCTATCGTCTGCTATACTGACCTTTATCTCCACCAATAACAGACCTACGTTTCTGGGCTTCGTCGCTCGATCTGTTGGCCATATTGATGCCTCCAGTTCTAATGACGGGATTACCAGCCACGTTGACCGTGTTGTGTTGCCCTGCCCGGATTGGTTTGGCGATTGTGGCTGCTGGGCCTCTTCTCGCGAGGTTCTTCTGCCTCACAGCCTCTTTAATGCGGTCAACCTCGTATTGGTATCTACAAAATGTTAATTATTAGTATTTATTATATATAGTTTAGCAAAAATCATTTTGACAGTTACACAGTAAATTCGTCAATTTTTGATTGTTTATTGAATAAAATAAATCAAAATCACCCAGAAATAAGCGAAATTACTCAAGAAGGAAAATTAAAAAATAACTACAGCCAAAAAACAAACTCAGTGCGGAAACTAAGAAAACATTTGATTAATATAGACTAGCTAGAACATTTATGGAAATATCTGTATTAGATTACGATTTTATCAAATACTTCGTTAAGATATAAATGAGAAATTATAAAATAGACTGGTAAGTGACGTAATGTTAATTTACATGTGGATTTGAAAAATTTTAAATCGGGTTCAGATGTTGAAATCAAAACGTCAAATAAAGTAATGCTATAAGTAGCTGTTTTAGGGTAATATTAGAAAACATTTTTAATAATGGAATAAAATTTCGATAATTGTAAAATAGATTTCTTTTTGGTAATGATTAGATTAGAGACACACCTATGTGTAAGTAACAATCTACAACATAGTGAATGTCTGGATGACATGGAATAATATAAAGCAAATCATTCAAACTGTTTTTGACGCTCATCTAGAACGATCAACAACAGATATAAATAAATCCCGGATAACGGATGAGATACTGTGTCTTATGGAGGATAGAAGGATTAAAAAAAAAAATCCAATAGCAACAACAAAATGATTTTGAACTAAGTAGCATTAATAAACAAAAATGCCAGCAGCATCTGCATAGTCTGCATGAGGATATAATTTTTATATAAATATTAAAGAAATTGCCATTATCACAAAAAAAATCCAATAACATATCAAAACACAATGGAAAGTTGATCTTAGTTCCAGTAGATTTATGCAACACATTAAAAAGCTATGCTCAATTGCTCTTTTAAGATCAGAGAGAAACTAGTCAACTTGTGGTAACTTGTCAACTAGGTTCAGTAAGTTATGAAGAATTGAAAGAGTTTTGGTCATCGCAATGTGCATGCAGAAGTTCTCTCATGTTCAAAGCATCTCGTGTATATTTTTTCTATATGATTGGGCACAAATTCCAACTAACTAGTTAAAATTAACCTTAGTAAAAATTCCAAAAAAGGTATATCTCAAAGATGGTAGTGACTATCCACCAAAGTCTTATGATACATGCTCTGAAAGTTTTTCTTCGAGTCATGCATGCTACACGGTAGAATATATTTAACATATGAAGAAAATAGAGGAAAAAACACAATTTGTCTTCATAAGAGTTAGATAAAGAAAGGCTTTGTTTTCAATCAAACTATTGATTCAAAAGTATTATGATCAACGCTATAAATTATGGATTTTATGCTTCATAGAATATCAGAAAACCTTCGACAATACTAAATACGATACCTACTAAATAGATCACTCGAGATAGGAATTGACGCCAAAGATATCAGAATTTTACAATAAACTGTGTTGGAACCAAACATCGGAAAGCATAATCAGCAGAGATCTAGCCAGAGATGCCTCTAATTATGTAGAGAGAAATTGAAATTAATGCAATTCCAGCAGAAAATATACCATATGCAGACGATACGATAATTCTAGCACCAACTTTAGAGGATCTTCAACATATTAAAAAGTTTTGAAGCCATGGGTAATCATTTTGCACATAATATCAATGCTGTTAAGGTCAAATTTATGGTAATAGGTCGAGAGTCCATAATCAATAGTATCTTTGTAGCATTTTTATATTCTTTCGTATGTATTGAAATCACCCGGTATTTGTTAAAACACCGAAAAAGTGTTTTCAAAATTTTTGCATCGCTGGAGTTGATATAAACACATTTTACAGTTTGTTTATATATCACAGATGTGTATTTCCTTGGTATTCTTTTGATCGAAGCCGCTTTGAGATATTTTTCGTCATCAAATAAACAAAATATTCCCATTTATGCTTTGTTTATACCGAGTTGGGCGGATGAATATTAAGGAGAATTACATCACTCTCGGTGGAGCCACTGTCAAAGGCAGTTGGTTTCAGGCTAGTCCAAATTTTTCGTCAAATTTGTAATGTTTTTTCGTTTTTCGTCTTATGTTATGGAAAATATTTAGTTTGGTGAGCAGTTTAGTTACAGTTCAAGTTTTAAGTAAGGATTGGAAGACAAGTCATTGACAACAGGCGCAGTGTGTTTAGTTGGAAAGAACCGGCAAATTTGTAGAAAAAAAGTGATTTATACTCAATGTAATGTGTCACTTCTGATAGGAGCAATCACTGTTTTTGTTTCATGTCGTCTCTCACCTAAGAGATTTGTATCTAAGAGATTTGCGGCGTTTCCAACAAATATGAAAGGTGCCCACATGTGGTCCAGTTTTTAAAGAAGCAGATTTTAAAAGTTTACGTCCAGTGCTCAACTTCTAGCTTCATTTTTCGCAGTTTGGAGATAAATTAGTTCGTGTGGCAGAGAATCTAACTTCAGTTCCACCCCCAGAAATTTTAGTGAAATCCAGGTAACTTTTTTTAAAGGAAAAAGAAATTGTAATAATTAAAATTGTATATGTTATAGTGTGACATAGCTTGCTGTCATATTAATTGTTCTCAGTTTTAAAATTTTGTATTGACATCTGACAGCTAGCTTTATTATTTTTTTTGACATTTGGTAAATACCTAATCATAATAGAGATTTTATTTTTGTTTTTTTTTTTAGAAAAAGGTTAACCTCTATGTATAGTTACACTTAAAAAGATATTTCTTCATTTGTAATAATTTATTTCTGCTACAAATTATCGCCCAGCAACAATTGTAAATTCTTGTAGTATCTCCAACTTCTACAGTTTGTAAAAGGATAGGACATAGTAAGTGTTTTTCTTTGTTATTTTGGTATTTATCTTTGTAACTATTTATACACTATTTTTTTTTTGTATTTCCATTTATATTTGTAACTGTTTGGTTATTTCTCTTAACTAACTCTCTAACCCCTTTTTGTGTTTTTAGAAAGAAAGAACCTTTTCTTTCATCCAGCAGGAAGATTCTTCAAAGCGGCGTCCATTTTAAATAGCTTGAGAACCTTTTTGTATTGTGTTTTGTTCCAGGAGATTCATGTAAGTTCCCCCTTTTTACTTCATTTTTGTAGTTGTCCCAATTCAGTCCCTTTATCATTCACTTATCCACGACCTAGTTCTCCAAATAAACCCTGAGTAGCCGTTCACAAAAGTTTCGATTTGTTTTGCTTGCCCTATCTCCACCCCAATAATTTCTGTTCACATTTTTCACCCCCTTATAGTAACACCCAATGTGGTCGGCAAAATAATCGTTACAACTTGACAATCGAAGGAAAAACTATAGAGCGGCTATTATGATTTAAACATCTGGGACATGGCCCATTAATGTCGTTAGTCATGAACTTTTGAACTTCCATTTGAAATACTGAATTCGACATGTTTGTAACTAAAAAAATCACGCCTTTAAAACTTATATATAATTTCTTTTGGTAACGTAATTACTGTGTTAATTAAAATTATGGGTGCTGTCCAGTGCATATGTGAATGGTCTACTATACAAATTCTTAGTCTTAAAACAGTGAAAATCGCAATGATTTCCCAAAGAAGGTGAATAGTCATACACATTTATAAGCCTAAAATGAATTTCGGACACTATTCAATCGCCTTTTATCACATCATGATACTCGGTTATTTCTAATTTAGGGTAAACCATCTATGTCAAACAAAGCAGTTGACTGCCTATAGTCAACTGCTGCCTGGAATTACTTACAATTTTATATGGCCTCTACAAACACAGATTGGAATAAACTGGAAGGAAAAAATACCGAGAGTAGTACTGTGTTACTCTAATAATAAAATATAGTAGCCTCTTGTGTTTTTGCAATCTTTAGTGATAATTATGATTTTACAATCTTTTAATAAAGTAATAATATAGCATTTTCAAAAATGCAATGTGAATATTTCTAAAAGAGAATAAGATCTTTAAACTTTTCCCGAGAACAAATTTATTTTAAGTTAAATTCTGAGTTATGTCTAAGAAAATTATCAATTGTACAAAATCTTCTTCTTCAAGTTCCACTGCTATCGGAGATTGGAAATCATTCTGGCTATTATAATTTTATTGGTTACTCGCCTGAATAGTTCAATTGAACTGCATCCAAACCACTCACGGAGATTGCGTACAAAATAGTATAGTTTTTAATTTTTTTTATTGAGACCCCGGCAATACAAACGATATACAATAATCTAAAGCGTATTAAAATTATTCAGTAATATTTCACTGAAATTTTATGAATATTGCGAAAAATTGGCTAATAAATACAAGAAAGAAATATAAATGAAAAAGTCTGTACAGAAGACCCAAAGAATCAAAATAAATAGCAAGATAAACTAAAATTTCAGTGATGACTAACACAAAGGATAAAAAAGACTGAAACAAGAAAAATACTCTATTTACAGAATTAGTTAATACATCTTAGTGCAAAAACACGTAAAAAATGCTTATGTAACTCAACAAAAGCAAAATACGTTTATAGGACTTACCCGAGAATAATAACAAATTATATTATTTTTGAAATTTAATTTCTCGTACAAATTTTAAAAGCAGGATTAGAGATCATGAGTGCCGAATAAAGAAAAGTAAGACCATTATCAAACTGTAATAATTTTAACATTAATGTTAATAACTAAAAAAGATTAAAAAAAATAATTTGTAATAGAAACAAATGTCAAATATTAAATTTAAATGAAAATAAGGTAATATATCGTTAGTCTGAGAAAAATGTGATATAACAAATTCACCCTATACAACGCCTAAACTGTCCACGAAATCCCTTTTGTCTAAAATCTAAATAAAATATACAAAACAGATTTAACCTTTTGCGGTCTCTCATGGCGCCTTCTTTGGCTTCCTTCAGCGCCGTTTCCAGTGCTTTGACTCTTTCCATCGTAGCCCGCAGTCTCTTTTCGAGTTTGGGAAGTTCACATCGCAGATCCGCGTTGTCTCGTACCAACTGCTTGTGGACTTTTGTCAACTGATCGAGATTATTTTCGAGGAAAGATATTTTCTGTTTTTGAGCCAGAGAGCCGCCGTCTTCCTCATTGTCTTCCGACGAAAGATTCTTCTTCATACGTGCCTGAAACATAACTGATTAGAAATCTTTGATAACAGGTTATTATTGAAAAAAAAAACATTTGTTATAACCTTATTAGAAATAGACCAACCGCTCTTAAATATTGGCGTATATATTAAGAAGGACATTCTAGAAAAGGCTAGAAAAAAAAAGACCCTAGAAAATTAATTTTAATATAAATCGGGCTACCATGTTTGCTAAAGCAAAATGGGAGGTACTAAATTAGAAGCGATGGAAAGCCAAGATTTAATAATCCAAAGAAATCAAATATAATGAAATGAAACTAGGTAAGATGATCTCCTCGCATGTTAAAACAAGATTCCTTCTAATCAAAGCTTGGAAGGTAACAAAGAACATTTCATATTTAACCCAAAACAGACGAAAACACGTCGTAATATACATAATATTGAAACTAATAGGAAAGCTTTACCAAAATCATTGGCGAATCGATGCAAAACCATGACAAATGGCTTTAGTTAATGAGCTAAAAACACAGACTTAAAAGGGTACGACGTATTTAACCCTTACTGCATGATTTTTATTTTTTATAAAAAAAAATCCTACTTGGTTAGTTTTTTGTATTTTTTTTTGTGTGTCGTATATGGCACATAAAGCATTAAATTAAAACAAGATTCAACAAGTAAAATTAATAAAAAAATGACGTTTATTACTTTCTAATTATAATAAGTATTCAGTGTGAAAGTTGTAAAAACAATTTCTATTTTTGTTTAAGCAGACATTATACTTCTCGCATTTTATGAAGCTTTTTGAACCACAGGGATATTTGCATCTTTGTCTTTCACTAGACCTTAATGGAAGATGACCATATCCATCTGCTCGTACATATTGCATTGGAATATCGTTTGCTGGACCCCTTCTTTTTTCGTTTTGTAAATTTTCCATAGTTTCACACGGACGACCCCTTTTTGTAGTAAAACCAGCTTTAAGCTTTGCTTAAACACTCTGCTACTTCCATTTTGAATGCATACTGCCATTTTGAAATCTGTCAGAGCTAAATGATTATGCTCATTGTCACTTCTTCTCCAAAAAATCCACGCATTGACAGTCATCAAATCAATAATATGAAAAAATATACGAATGTGCATTTTTTGGATCTGAGTTTGATCCTATAATATCCCAACATAGAATCCAGGAGATCTACCCCTCCCCATATACTTGTTGTAGATCGTTACAGCTTTTGCACATAGAACCGTTATATGTGTCTTGTTCATTTTCGAAAACCGTTTAACTTCATCTGTTGGCATACTTCCAGTATACGTTGATAAAATGTTTACTAATTTGTTGTCATGCCATGTAACAACAGATATTTTTGTACCATCTATTGTGGCGACTTTCTCCTTGGCCGTTCTTGTTTAATTTAGCCTCTTTTGGCATATTACTGTTTGACATTCTGTTTATTCTAACTGTTCCTAGAGGTAACATACCCTGTTTCATTAGATACATTTGCAATGGGACGCAGTTGAACCAATTCTTAAAGAATATTTTGTGATTTATAACTCTTGGTACTGTTTGTGTTAGCTGAAGAAACACATTTGAACTAATTCAGGAAAACCATAGGTACATTAGTTTGACTTGCTACAAAAATTTCATAATCGTAGGAAAATCCGCTGGCACCACTAAGAACAAACGCCTTATATCCCGATTTGTGCAGTTTTTGCGGATTATATTGTTTTATAGATGAACGGACGCTGGAGTTCCAATAACTTCTAGTGTTTGGCAATTGCTCTATTGACATATAAATACAGGTTCCTAAGAAATGTTCTAGCTCATTTTCAGAAAGTTTCAAAGGTTTTTGAGGTCTTTTTTCTACTGAATATAATATACTTTAATAAACTATATCTTTGATCATCTCATTTTTGTTAAAAAAAAATTAAAAATGCGAAGGAGATTCCGCTTGTTGCAACTCAGGTAGCAGCTCAGTAGAACCGAGAAATCTTATATCATCATCTGATGTTCATTTCACCAAATTTCCTTCTTTCCAAGTTGGATGATTTTTATTTGTATTGTTTATTAGATTACGTCGTAATTCGTCCAAAGAAATATCATCTTTATCAACTGCTTTCTAAATATCATCTTTATCCAAAGAAATATCACCTTTATCAACCAATATCAACTGATTTCTAAATCCGTTTCTAGGATAATAATATCTGATTCATTATTACCTATTATAACATCTTCATAATCTGACTCTGGGGCTAATATAATAGGGGCAATATCATCATCTGATAGCCCTTCGTCTTCACTACCATCTGGTATGTCCCATTACCACAAGAGTTTTACCATAAAACTTTTTGATCCATCATTTAAAATTAAAAAAATAATAATACCTAGTTCATAACGCATATTGTGCCATATATGAAAAAGAGTTTTGCACGACAGTGCATATTATGGCATGGCCACAAGCATATTTTTGATCAAAAAATACCAAAATATAAAGAAATGCGTGAAAATTCTTTCTTGAAAGTCTATCCTTGATGTCGCTATTTTTTTTTGTACAACAATATTCAGTAGAAACTTCGATAATTGAATATCAAATTGCACAATTCTTATGAACAGCTGTCAGACCGCGGCCATTCGCAAATTTTCATAAAGTTCACTTTGCTGCAATGAGATGGCGCTTTATTACCAATTATACGAAATATGTGCTTTATATCGACATGTCATGCATAAATACTTTAAAATAAGATTCGATCTCTAACGGTTAGGTATAAAACAAAACATAGGTGTTGTGCCATATATGGCCCACTATGCTGTAAGGGGTTAAACTATTACCAAATATATAAAAAATGGTACCTAATACAAAAGCATAGGGCAGCAACAATCACAAAACTGGTGGGTTCACCATAAAATAAGGCACGCAGTAAAGATAAAACCTGACATTATCAGATAAAAATAAAGTCGGTGTTTATATAAAAAGCAAAATCGAAGAAAAGAGTTTCTAAGCTATGTTGTCGTCTACAATTCTCACATATTAACAATTTCTCACTTCCACATTGACCTTCTGAAGGTCACGGATATCAAGAAATTTGTAAAGTTATATAAAAAAATCTTACCTGCAAATCTTGCACGAACAATTTCCTCAGGTTGTGCAGAGTCTGTAGTTCTTTGGCGACGGTGTCTTCGAGCCCTTTGAGGTCTTTTCTAGCCTGTTCGCGTCTCTCGTTCGTAGCGCTGTAGAATTACATCCATTTTTGAGACACTGCGGCTGCCACACCACGTGCATAAGCACACGGATAAAGGTTTGGTTAGGTTTCATTTTATCAATGAGATTTTTCAAAATTAATTTTTGTTTAATTCATAAGGAAAGTTAATCGTTTTTAATAGAAACCCAAAAATATTACTGATTGGCTCGACTAAAGGTACTAGTATAGAATGCACGTATGTTCGGTTGAATGAGTCAGGACATTTATTGGTCGTTAGTGGATGTGTACTTATGGATACAAATCTTAATTTGTCAAAGAAGTTACCATTTATCGTTTTTGCTGTTTTATCTTTAGTACATAAAAGTTTATCGATGAAATAATATATTATAGGACAATATTACAAAAGAATCCATTATGTCTTGAGATACACAGAAATTTTACCCCATTTTCACTAGCCAAAGCGTCATATCGTAGTCACGCGACCTAAAATTTCCTCAGATATATGGAAATTTACTTTAATTTAAAAAAAAATCTTTGCCTTTATTCAAATTTAATATTCTCAAACTTTTAAATGACTAATAAAGCCATAGATAAACCAAATGAAAAAATATGTATATGTATGTATAAAAAACAGAGAACTTAGACATCCTTCACAGATATAAAAGTGAAAGTACGCAATGTCGGTTTGTAGCCTTATAATGAATTCTAGACTGGTCATGATGGGTTCAAGGGAACTAAAAAGAGGAGTCATTAGCAAAATGAAGCTCGAAGAAACCTTTGTGGGCCCGGAGCCATTCTGTTGCCACAATAAAAAACAATATTATTGTTGCAAAAGTAGCTGGAAAAGAGTCACCAAAACAAATGGAAATACACATATTGTTAATGATACTGCTAATACTAGTACACCAGCCAACCAAAAAGGGTTGAACCAAAAGGGTTAATTCTTAAACTTCCAGTAAGGAAGCTGCTGAATTTAAAAGAAGAGGACTTTTGGTAAAGATTAATGGAATGATAAGGTGAATGATGCTACATGAAAAAATAGAGAAACTAGGTGTTGCACCAATTAATGCCAAAACGAGCTAATATAAATTAAGACCAAAACGAGCTAAGGGAAGACGAAATAAGACCTGGTGAAAGACGCTTAGGGAAGATATGTCTTTGAAGGGGATTAGTATTGATATAATCCAAGATAGAAAGTTATGAAGAAATCTAATTAGGTAAGTCAACCCCTTATAAGTATAAAGTCAAAGTAAAATAAGCCAATAATGATGTTTAAACAACTCTATATTGAAAATATTAAAAAAAATTATAGATTGTGAGAGACATTTTAAAATTATTGATAATGTAAATGTTAGAAAACACTAACGGAGCCGCGCTGAAGCTGGAACTGATATTTTGGTAATTATTAAAATTCCTTAAAATCCGATACTTGAAATGACTAATAGCAAACGTTCAATGCAATGATATAATAATATCTAATTAACACATCCACTATCGACTGCATGGAAGTAATGCACATGGGCTGCTATGTGTTGAAATAGTTAATAGAGTTAAGTGAAGTAAGGTCTGTTGAAAAATTAAATTTTTTATACCAAAATAGTTCAAAGACAAAATTATTTTGATTACGGCAGTCAACCTATGTGTAATACTTAAGAAAAATCATTTGAGGCACTTACTACAAGTAACAATAAATTAATTATTGTCTAAATTCTTACTTAAGATCGTTAAAAATATATTTATATACACATTTTTCAGCTTTTCTTTACAACATATTTACATATTTTTTTTTACAAATTACGTATCAAGCACAACATTAATATCACAATTTTTACTAGGAGCTTCAAATATTTAAAAGGACATTTACTTATATACATCAAAATAACTTTTTCACGTTTTAGACTATATAGACCCTATTAGAAAAAAGCTAAAAATCGCCGATTATAGTGGGAAAAAACAATACTAAGGAACAAATGCGAAACAATAGAGTAAATGCAAAGGGCTGAAAATATTCTACGCTAATGGATAAGACACGAAAAGAAGTAAAAAAGAAACACATAAGTACACAGTTCCCCACTCTTTTGCTCAACTATTTTGTTATATAGTAAGCTTGGTTGGGAATCCTGTTTTTCTCTCTCTCTAAATCTGTCTTTGACTCTTTCGCTGGCCAATGAGGTTCAACTAGAGCGAAACATGAAGTATGAACCAAGACAGGCACTCATGCCTTCTGGTGAATAATATGCCGCCGCCTCTATAAAACGAATTAACGAAAGTAATTCAAGATACATAAGATAATCATCATCAATAACCTGTACGCGATCACTGCTGGACATAGGTCTCCCTCAACCCTTTCAATATGTCTCTGTCTTATGAGGCTTAAGTTGTTAAGATGTTATTGCTAACGTGCTTCAGGTCGTCACATCTGCTCCTTAGTGCTTCTTATCTTGGTTTCAACTCAAAATCATTTTGTCGATTGGTTGACAGATAAGCAGGCGACTTGTCCTGTCCAATCCCCTTCAAGCAACATGATTTTTCGATAGCGTCTGTTTTTGTTCTGCGACATATTTCTTCGTTTGTTATTTGGTCTCTCCGAGAGACATATAGACTTTTTGTACAATTATTTGCTTGTTCAATATCTTCTATTTCGTTTTCTAAGTCTTGAATATGTCTGGTTAGTATATCTTCATACAAATCGTTGTTTTCTGGATGAATACATATAAAAAATAATAAATTTATTATTTTTTTCATATTGACTTCTCCTTGTATGCTACATGTACCACAAGAATACGCGCAAATCTATCTAAAAGCTGAGTTAATGCAAGAGGCTAAATAAAGTTTGGCAATTACTCATTTGGCGCCCAACCTGGGGCTACATAGTACAATACTAATGCTAGATAGAGGGAGAATAAAGAACGTAAAGGTTTTATTTAATAGTCCTTTTAGAGAAAAAATCGAGTTAACGTTTCGGTGCCAATTGCTGGTACCATGCTTATTGGTTAATTTTTTTTATAGTAGCAATTTGGATGAATAATATTATTTAGATTTGTTGTGGAATCGATTTACATGATATTTACTTTCCGTAAGATGGTGCATGTCCACATGTTATCATTAATATTCAAAATGATTTAAATGACATTTTCCAGGAAATATGGATAGAAAGAAGAGGTACCACAAAACAGAACAAAATAAATTTGACAATAAACTTGGATACAACCAAATTAAATAAGGAAGACATTTTCAGAATTTAATTTAATGGAATTGGTAATGTATTTTATCGTGTCAATTATTTTGTCAATAAAAACTATCATGAATAGATTTAATCATAGTACTTTTATTTTAATAGATTAAGGAAAATTGGATAACATCCTTGACAACTTACACAATTTAAAAAAATAGGTTTACAAACTTTTTTTATTAATCTAAAACTTGCATTACTTTTATTGCTCCTCTTTAAGTTCATATATACGTATATATTTGGAGATACACGATGTTAAACGTCTTTATTCCTCATTAAAAATGATTATTTCGTCATGTTTTAATTTAATTTTTAAAATTTACTACAATTATCTCTTCTTCTGAGCATTTGGCAACACTGCCAGCTGGTGAAAGCATAAAATTAAACAATTTGAACAATGACGTGTACCAGAATTTATACAAAAACGTTTAGAATAGATCTATAACGTTAGAAGTAAAAAGTTATTGATATTTTAGTAGAATGTCCTCGCAACTATTTTCGGCGACGAATTTTTTGCAAATAACTTTGTCCTATATCTAAACAACGTTCACATAAAATAAATAAATAAAACATATCAACAAAAATCAATAATTAACGTGCTCACTACTATAAAAATAAAAAAAAACTTACATTGATAAATTTCTTCGGTTTGAAATCACATTAATAAAATAAAACTCAACCAAACGGTGGTGTGACAATGCGATGTCAAAAAATAAAATCTAAAATACTGTAGGGACTAGTGAAAAGGAATATAGTAAGGTTTTTAACTATTATGTTAGTAGTTAACTATCATATATTCGTTAAGTAGTTACTTAAGTTGAATATTATTACTATATACGATATGATTTCTTACTGTTAATTTATTATTAGTTATCATTTTTAACAGTTTAAAAACGTTTTCAATGTATTAATGTTACATTCCTAATGTTATGCCGGTGTGGAAAGCGACAGAATTTTTCTACCAATTAACTTTCTTCTTTTTTATTGTTAAATATTCGGGTGATGATACCTAGATACTCTGAATTAACTTATCTTAATAATGAAATAATCAATCAAATATTAAATAAATACCAAATGTATACAGATGAATCAAAAGATCCTTATGGCACAGGTGCGGCTTTTATTGTCTCACTGCAAGTACAACGCACATTTTAACGCACAAATAAGTAAGAAAACGTCATTTTTACAGCAGAAGCTTTTGCCATTACGAAAGCTATAGATTTTATAATAGAAAATAATACTATATACTCCATAATTCTTACTGATTCCCTTTTATTTTAAATTGTCTACAATCGCATTTGCAAATCAACTCCGCATATATCCACCCTCACAGACAAAATAAAAACGATGCTCTCGCAAATTCAAGAAACTAAAAACCCGATTTTTGTTTGGGTAAAAGCACACTCATGCATCACATACCATGAACAAGTTGACAAAGCAGCTAAAGAAAGCATACAGTTGGGAGAAGTAGTTACACCCTTATTAACATTTAATGATAGAATAAATATAGCCAAGGATAATTTATATCAAAAATGGTCTAAACAAGACAGATATTTTTGTTTGACAAAATGCACAAGTTACACATTGCTAGAACCCGAGATTCGAAAAAACTACTGGCTTGCAAATTACAACTATCCGAGAAGTTCCATAACAACCATATCCTGGATGAAGTTCGGACATCCTTGCTATCCGGCTCATTTATACAAAATAAAAATAATTGATAACAATCTTTGTGATATTTGCAAAGAAACGGCAGGTTTGGACCACATATTTTTTAATCGTAGCAAGTATACATATCAGTTTGACATCTTTAGAAAAAATCTAAAAAGTTTAAACATTCACGGTCCCTACAATCTCATGAATCTTTTGGCACTAAATGATAAACGTGTTTTAGATTTTATTTTATTATTCATATTTCAGTCTAAAATTAAATCGTAGAATAACTAGTTCATGCTTGAAACCTTAAAATAATGTCTTTCCTTGTTTACAAACCTATCTTACCGTGGTCTACCCAGTATTTGTTAAAAAAAAAAAAATGCTTAGAATGACCCCTGGATGAGAAAAGTGTGACCCTTGTCCTAATACCAAAATGCTTATTTTGATTAATCTTCCAACAAAAATTTGTTGGAAAAATGTTTATTTTAATCATAACAAATTAATCTTAAAGCAAAAAAACTGTCTTCTTCCATACGAATTTGTGGATCTTATGCTTGCTGTATCCAAATTGGAAGCTTAAGAAACGAATACACAATCTTCAGCTTACAACAAAATACTAACAACACTTTATAATACCTACCAGAATTTTATAGACCGAGACCTCATAGACAATATTTTTGAAATTATGCAATTTTAACAATTTTAAAAGAATTTGAAACCGGTTTCAAAAATTTTGAAATAAAATTATGATTATGAAAATATTTTAGAATTTTTTGAAAACGGTTTAATTTAATTGTGGTATATCACATATAAAATATTATTTTCGGAGAGCAAGTCTAGAGTTTGACGTAGACCAGATCCAAGTAGTTAATCCGGGAATGGAGTACCATGTTTCCCGTACGCAATAAATTCATTAATACATTGAAAACGTATATAATATTATCAAACAATAAAAATATATTAATCATTCCAAAAGATAAAATTTTGGACGAATTTTTGGAAAAATGAACAAAAATCTCTAAAAAATATTAAATATATATTTAATGACTCCAATAAGGGTCAAGTGTGGTTTTTAACCACACAAATATATTATGATAACTGTATCAAACTAAAAACTGACTAGATACTCATGTAAATTTAGGAGATCGGGTGAAATGCAAATAAAAATAATACTGTAACGTGTTTTTGAATGTAGGAGTTAAGTTTTAGCATCAAATACCACAATATCTATAAGTTTTTAAAGTTGAGTAAATGTACTTATGGTAATATTGAGCAGAAATACGATATATAACATTTTTATCTGGTTGGCGTTGAAATCTGATCATGGACATCTATTTTTTAAGTAACTTTCTTCTACTTATGGGAATCGACATTCTCTGTCTTATTTCGTCATTTTTTTTCTGTCGATTTTTGATACACATCAATTTCCAAGTGGTTTACACACCAGACGGGGGTTTAGTTGTCTAATTGCTGTATTGTTTTTATTACTTTTTTTTATTACAGAAATGTGTTTCTGGAAGGCAGAACTATTTTAAATATTTTAGCGGTCGCTGTATAGCTTAGCCAATTTATATTTTCTGGGATCCAAAGTAGATGGCGCCACATTTGCATACCAGTTTGTTAGGTGGAAAACTAGCGTAATTAGAGAATCACGTCCTTCCCTCCGAGATAATTCGTTAATCAATGAAATTCTACTAGACCGAAACATGTCATATGTCATAGTGTGGCCGAAGATCGACTTAAAAAGAAGAGACAGGTCATTATGCATTCTAGTGTATATTATCCGCTGACCGTAACATTTATCAATTGTTTGAATATTATTTGAAGTAATCGATCGAAACGTTTCTTCACTTTTGCCAGCGTTGGTTAAGCTGTTTCTTGTAGACAGTCGGAACATTATCATGTTATGTGAGTGCTTTTGACAAAATCCTTAACTTCATGTAATTCTGAGATATTCGGTAATAAAACCCGATATCGTAAAATTCAAAGTCGAAAAATTTTTGACCTAGATTTATTAAAAACAACCTTTAAACTAGCATGTGATTAGACAATGGCTTATTACCGGTTGAATAATACTGAAAATAGAGTAACAAGCATATTTCCAGGCCAATAGTGTGGATTTGATTAGTGTCCATTGGAAGTAACGTTGGTATTTGGTTAAAAGGTTTAAAAGAATAATTGATCTCAGGGCTTCCAATTTATACAGTTTAATAGTAATGTCAAATTTTTGTAATACTTTCGATACATATATAGCTCATTTAAACCTTTAATTATTTCTTTAGCTTCTTTTCTTCTTCCTCTTTATAAGCAATTTTGCTTGTTCATTGGCGGCTTAATTTGATCTCTCACCTCTTTGTCCAGGTGTCCATAGGTAGACAGTGTAATTCCCAGGAATTTTATTTCCACTACTTGTTGAATAGTGATGCCATAAATTTCTATTTTACATCTGGTTGGTTCTTTGCTGACTACTATTGTTTTAGTTGTCTGAGATGAGATTGTCACATTAAATTCTTTTGCTGTTATGTTAAATCTGTGGACCAGTCTTTGCAGACTATCTTCATCTTGGGCTATCAATATTGCGTCGTCTGCTTAACAGAGTATTTTGATTTCTTTGTTTCCCATTCTGTATCCTCTTCCTTTGTTAGCAAATTGAAGAGCATGTGGTTCAATGAATGCTCTTGTCTTATTCCGCTGCCTAGTTCTATAGGTTCTGTAAGTCCATCTATTCTGACTTCGATTTTGTTGTTTTGGTATATGTTTTCGATAGTTTTTATAAAATTTAGTGGAGCTTCTCTATTATACAGAAGATGGAATACATGTTTTGAGTCTCACTCTGTCAAACGCTTTCTTTAGGTAAATCAGACACAGAAATGCTGCTCTATTATACTCTAGTGATTTCTCAGTAATTTGCTTTATAACGAATATTGCATTTGTACACGATCTTCCATTATGAAAAGTAGTGTTAACTCTTCGTTCTTTTTGCTGCATGTAATTTTAATCGATATATATGTAGTACCAATTGGGTTCTCTCTATGATTTAGTCAATTTTTTGGACTTGTTCGTCACTTTATTGTAAAAGGCTGTCATCGAGGGGGTAATTTTTTATACATGAATGTTAAGTGAACGGTATTCCAAAAAAAATCCAATTATTGACTACATTCGACGATGCTGTACATATATTAACTTCAAAATAAAGAAATATTTAATATAATATGTAGTTAATATAAGTTTAATAAGTGCCTTCTGAATGTTCCGTGAATGTTTTGATGAAGTATATATTGAAAGCTAATACAATTGAAAGAACTGAATACTTCAATGTTTCGGTTTAAGATCAATAACGACTTGAGTTAATTCCCATTACAACAATTTGCAATACAAGAGGGAGCTCCACTTGTTAGATACCTTAGGATGTTTAAATAAAGTCTCGGTTCCCTAGTGTTTGGTTAATTTCTTGCACTTGGTTTACCATTTTGTGATCAAAATCCATCTTTTACATTTCACCAATAGTACTGGTTTGTCCATGATCCAACTAATATTTTAATAATAACATCTTTTTGTAGATCTGTAGGCCGTTTCTTTATAAAAAAAAGCAAAACAAACCAGAGTATATCAGTCACTGGTCACACCAGTTTAAATAGTTTGTGGAATGCGTCTATTTAAAATGCGGATTTTGTTACAGATATTAATGAATCAACATATCTGTAAAGTTTTAATTATTTGTAAGCAGATTAACTACCAGATATTGTGGACATCGGTGCGTAACCAAAAGCAGGGTTAAAGATATGAAAAGATGAAGATGAAAAGTATGTATATGAAAGATGGAATCTGTGCATTGCCCCTTCAATTTAGTCATGGTATTTATTGCTTCTTTATCTAACTTGTTCATCGCCTCTTTGTCGAATTTTGACATTTTCGACTTCTCAGCGTTGATCTCGTTCTTGTAAGGTATGAACTCTTCCCAAGAAGGAGATTTAGAACGCTTTTTGAGGAAAGAGGTCTTTGAAGGGGAAAGGTAATTATTGTATGTTTTAGAATTAGTTTTGTTATCGAAAAAGTCTACTGACATGAGTTCCTGCAATTTGTTGGACTTCTCGCCCTCGTCGGACTTGATCTTCTCGTAATCTGCTTGGAGTTGTTGTTGGGCCAGGGTGAGTTTTTGGTTTGAACTGAAAAAAAAAAGAAAACCAAGTTATTAATTGTTATTCAACCCTTAATCACTACGGTAACATAATTTTTTATACAAATGATCTCGTATTGGGCGACAAATTACATTTTTACAGTGTAAGAAATTGCAAAAGCTAACATGAAATGCATCATTGTCATTGAGTATTGAACTATGTTTAAATATTTAGGTTTTTATCTTATTGAGAAATTGGTTTAAAACCGATTACAATATTCCACCCCAACACACAGACAGAGACGCGTATTAATATAAACGTGTTAAAATGTGTAAATTCATGGTAGGTATATAACAAAAAAAGAAGTAAAAAATAATAAAGAAAAATAAACAAAAATATAACAAGCATACAAATATTATATCCAAATCATCCGATCTTGAAAGATCTTGTGGCGATACGAAACATGAACAAAAAAAAAATGGACATTATCTGAATACCATCTCATGCTATCACAGCTGGTAACAATCTAGCTGATTGTATGGCTAAAGATACTTGCAGACTAGAAATATCTGTCGGTTATCAAATGCCAGAATCTGACGCCATACATTTAACAAAGAGCTTCTCACAAAAGTCATGGTTAGAAAAGTGATAGAAAGAATTGACTCCAACAAATTAATCCAGAATTACGAGATTATAATTCAGTCCAATCAGTATAAACCCCATCCCATTTGAAACATACAAAGCAATATATCATTAAAAAGAATAGTTGACATAGGGGAGATATTTGTACTTACTCTTTGATATCGTTTATCAAGCTCTGCTTTTCTGCTATCTCATCCCTCAATGCCGCAACTTGTTTCTGGTGGACATCTCTCAACTGATCCATCTGCTGTTCCAAAGCTACACGAAGTTCATTGGCTTCCTTCTTTTCGCTCTCACTAGCACTTTGCACCTATGAAACAAAAAAATTGATAAATATTCTTAAATTTTTTAGATAATTGCTGTATACGAGAATAAGTTGGAAGTTCGTGGATTAGATTGAAACTTTCGTAGATGGTACCGTTAAAACGATCTTTATTTTGTTACCCAGGCACACTTATCTTTTGTCAATGTTTCTGTTTCTGTTTTCAAGAGGATAAACTGTAAGTTCTCGCTATACTCTATAGATGACACTGTTCCAAAACGAAATTACTGATTTGTTCGTGTGTTCAGATAAGAATGTTTGCGGTAAAAGTGTTGCATGTTTGACATTATCTATTCGCTCTGTGCGTGACCATGATAGGGGTACCTTGAAACGATGCCAGCGCGCGTTGTGGCGAAATATGACAAAATTGGACCTCAGGACCTATCTTTTTACGCATAAATTCGATCAATAGTGTGTGCAAATACTGGTTGCGTATTTTATTGTGCTAATAGCAAAAATAATTAGTGTAGTTTTTATAGGTTTCCAAAGATTAAATATAAATTAAAGAAAAGAAAAAGATGGAATCATGCTATTAATATGAAAAAGGTAAAATATCACATAATTTTATTTTTATGCAATTGAAAAGAGAAAAATTTAAATAATTTACCTTAAATGACATTTCATAAGGCTTCAAGCTAACTGTAGAGTACCTGATGCCTTTAGCTTTTTTATATCATAACATTTACTATTAATGTTTTTAATTATTATGCTCTTTCACGTGAAAAACTTGATTTGTCAGTACTAGATTTTTTCATTTTTTTTTTCGTTTGGGATTGAAAAGATATATTATGATGAATTTTGAGAAACCCAGTTTTTAATACTACATTTATTTTGTACATAAACTAAAAAATATAATTAAAAAACTAATTAATAATAATTGTCAATTTCGCATGTATTTAACAATGTCAAACATATGTCATATGTTTAACCTGAAAATCGGGAGATCCAAAACTCTCAGATGAAGGCGGAAGGTGTCGCGTCAGTCACGCACGGAGCGAATAAATTCCAATAACCTTTTGTCATATTTTTTTTCGTTTTTAATGGTAAAAAAAAACTGTTGCCGCCAACCGTTGAAAATGGGCAGGGTAATTTAAATTTATTTGTACAGCAATGTAAATGGTTTATAAAATCAATAAACCATATTTGAAAAGGGTCATGCAACTGCCTATAAAGGGATCTTGTCAATATTAAAATTGAGTATACAAATATCGTATATTTCTATACGAAATTTTGTGATTCATCTTTTATATCTTCAAATCTTAAGAAATTTCTAACTACAAAATACTTTGGGATAGATCAAGAGATAATAAATACATAATTTGGAGGCCTTACAGAATGAAACCTTCAGCGACAGAAACCGTTTATTGGACAGACGTTAAAAAGAAAGATGAAAGGAGACTAAATAAATCAACTAATTTTCTTTTAATTCGAGACCCAAATATTTTCATCTTTCCTCGTAGCGAATGAATTTCCATTTAGATTAAAAATAACCACAAAACTTTGTAGTAAATTATTATACATACCTGTTCTGCTGCTTTCAATTTAGCACATTCCTCTCTCAGCGCATCGATATTCTCTTCCAACATTCTCTTCTTGTTCTCAGCTTCTCTCATAGACTCCTGCAAGCTCTTCATTCTAGCTTCATGTTGGGAAATCAACAAACGACACTCCGCCAATTCCTTCTCGTATTCAGTAACTTTTTTGTTGCTATCCTGTTCTTTGTTTTCGATCTCTTGTAATCGCTGTGTAAGACTTGTGACTTCGCTTTTCATGCGGGAAATGTACAATCGTGCAACCTTGAACAAAATAATTAGGTTTATTGTAGACTTAGTATTAAAATAGTATAAATATATTGCTGTTTGTGATTACAACTAGTTTTCTAATCCATAGTATAATATTTGGACCTCTTAGATGCATAAAAATATAAAGGATTTGATAAATCAATTGACTTACCGTAAATTCTTCTTCTAATTTAGCCACATCGTTAGATATCTTAATATCTTGACCGTCTCCTCCTCCCAGCGTACTGCCTATCTCTCCCAACTCTTTCAGTAGATTACTCAGCATCTCGGTGATTCTCTTCTTCTGGTGATTGTTCATGTCACGCAATTGTTGCAATTCGGTGGTAGTGGAATTAAGGTTAGTCTGTTTTTGCATAAGTTCTTCCGAGAGAGATTCCATTTCTTTGTTTTTAGCTTCGACTTCTTGACTTTTCTGGTCATAGTTGACGGCCAATTCTTCGAGCGCTTGCAAGACTTCTTTGACTTCTTCTTTGGCGCTTTCGTTTTCTTGTTGTATCCTGTGGAAAAGAGAAATTGGTATTCATACTGACAACAGAACGAGAAATAGAGAGGAATATTTGATATGCATTGTGGCAAAGTAGAGCTTACGCTGTCAACGTCTGCAGATGGCTCCAAAAAGAGAATAGAAAGCTCGAAACATCGAATTTTCTATGGCTTTCTATCCAGGAATTAAGTTTAATATTATTAGGTGATATTTAGATTAAATCTACAGAAGTAAAGTTAATCGAGGCGAGGTTACAATCTCTACATACTCGTTGAATGATATCGGGTAAAGTGAAGTCGAGTAATATAGTGTGACACTTCGTATTCGAACTTCGGGCCCTTTGACCCGGACGCGAAAAACCGACACAGAACGGAAGTGGAACTAGGCGAAGCGAAGTCGCATGAAGTACCTGTCTACACTCTCGTACTGACTGAACATCGATCAACTTCGCGGGTAGTATAGTGGCCGCTTTAAACAGTGCTTATTAAGTGAAGACTGGAGTGGAGTGAAGCCCCGGATGAGAACCTGAAGATCCAAAGGAAATTTAAATCATAACGCAGGCAAATTCCTGTTAAATTTTGGCAACAGAGTAAGACTTTTGATATTATTGATATATAATGAAGAGGCAAAAAAACATTTCAAGTTAAAATCCACTAGGAAACTAAGTTCCTGTAGCTGGCTGTATACCATGTATCACAATTTTTTTTTATTTTAAAATCCTTTATAAAAGGCATATAATAAAATACCCAAACGGGCTATATCACAATTATTACAAAACGTTTTCGGAATCTATATTCCATCATGAGTGTAACTGAGTATACATGTTTTGAGCCACTAAAATATTTGCGTAAAAACCCGTTAAGTCAGGTACACACATGCCAGTAAATTGGGAAAGTAGCTGACATGCCAGTTGCTGGCATAGGCCAGTAACTGGCAAGCCCAAAACACATTTTCCAGTATTTGGCATGCCAGTAGCTCGCTTGCCTTTAACTGGCAAGGCGAAAAAGCAGGTAGATTTTTACACATGCCAGTGTTAGTAAACAATCGAGTGGTTTTCATCTGAAACTAAAGTACTTGTTTTGTAACTAAAAGTTTGTGAGTTTTCAAAAAAAAAAGGGGGGATTCATGTAAGGTATTAGAAATAAATTCAAAAAGCAAATATTGGTAATGACCCCAGTTATTGTTAAAAATTTATTATTGAATCCGAAGCGGAACTCAAAAAAGAGAAAAATTTGGGCGAAAAATGGGGTAGGCGAGAAATTCTTGGAGCAATTTTTTATTTTGGCCTGGTGTGCCGGTAACCTATGTAACCTATGCGTGTAACCTATGTTTAGGCCTTAGACGCATACATCCGAAACTCCTTATTCTTAAACAAAAATCTAAGTCCTAATGAGAATATATTAAAGTTTACTTCACTTGTGTACCAGTTATTACCAGTTATACCATTAGATGGAAATAGCACGGATGCGCAACAGATAAGTAGATGAGTGAGACAGGGCTGTGTACTTTCACCATTACTATTTAATATATATTCCGAAGAGTTATTTCCGCAAGCACATAAAAACTGTACAGAAGGGATCAAGATAAATGGTGAAAATATAAATAACATCCGTTATGCTGACGATACAGTCATTATCGCTGAAAGAGAGACAGACCTGCAGACGCTACTAAACACAATTTGTGATACTGGAGAACAGTTTGGTTTAACAATAAACATAAAGAAAACAAAAACCATGGTTACCAGTAAGAGGGGCAAAGTTATTACAAGGATCCAGATAAAAAATGAAGATATTGATCAAGTGGACACAATGAAATACTTAGGAGTATTACGGAAGATCTGAATCCAAAATCAGAAATTCGCTGAAGAATAGAGCCATCAAGAATAGCCTTTTTGAAGATGAAGAAATTTCTGAGTAACCACAGACTCAATCTGAAAATCGGATATCGAATGGTAAAATGTTATATCCCCTCTATTCTTCTTTATTGTGTCGAAGCCTGGACTGTTAATGTTGATTTAATGAAAAAACTGGAAGCTTTTTACGTGAAGATGTGGCTTTTTAGGAGAATTTTGAAGATACCATGGACCGATCATATTACGAACGAAATGGTGTTTTACAGAATGGGAAGAGACAGAGAACTTTTGACTGCCATTAAAAGGCGAAAGACATCATATTTGGAGCAAATACTTAGAAATGATAAGTACGAGCTGTTGCAACTGATTATAAAGGGTAAAATCGAAGGAAAAAGGAGTACTGGTAGATTACAAATATCCTGGCTGAAAAACATTCGCGATTGGACCGGGTTAAACACACAGATGCTCTTAAGAAAAGCAGAAGATAGAGACGAATTTGCAATGGTTATATAAAACCTTCATTAGTGGAGACGGCACTAGAAGAAGAAGTGTACCAGTTCCCTAATGAGTCAGTTCAACTTTCCCATACTCAATATCATTTATACTGTAACTGTCCTTCTAATTTCGATCATTCATTATTAATTATATACTTTATTATCTATTCTATTGGTCTTGTTGTCTAGCCGTTTGTTTCTGCTATCACAAAGTCATTACCTGACGCCTAGAATACAACGAGTCTCCTAGAATATTTTTAATTGCTGCAATTGGTTAATTCATTGTGTACCGTCCAGGCACTTATTTGCAGTACCGAGACTTTATCTACCTCCAGCCATCACCTATTGTTTGTATATTTAAGAACATTTTGCCGTTTCAACTCAAATCAACCAAAATCCGAAAGTTTTATGATCAGAGACACTACCGACTCCAGTTTATATTGATTTATTGTCTTATAATATTTTATTTTTCCCTTTGAAGATGGACAATTGATATTATAAGTATTATAAGTGTGTAACGTTATAAACGTCACATCTCTATTCTTTTATATTTAAATAATTATTTCATTTTAATTTCTTTATTAATTTATTAATTTCTTTATGTTCAGTTTAATTTTTACTGTTTTTATTTAAAAAGTAGTTGGCACCCTCTCTTTCTTCCTCTGTTTTTCTTTTCTCCTCTGTCTTTATTTACTCTCTCTTTCTGTCCCGTAGAATAAATATTAGCCCTCTCTTTCTGTCCGGCAGACTATTCTGTTCCGTGTTGACGGACAAGCAACATCTTATGACATCTGTGTGTATGTGCTAACTTCAAGCAGTCCCACTACTTTCTGTCGGTTAAATTTTCTAATATAGTGGGAATATAATTTTTTGCCTGCTTTTGCACTTTATAAAAGAAGGCAAAACTTATAATAAGACTCATTTTATGGTCTAAATATTCTCTTGGGGTAAGTACTTTCATTGTGATATTTATTCTATAATTCTGACAGAATTTCCAATATTTGTAACGTTACTTTCTTTCGAAAGCATATTTTTTTTATATACGCATTAGGACTCTTTAACAGAATTTAACTAAGTAGTAACAATCATATTTCATTTTAAACTTTGAGGGTATACAAGGCAACTATCGAACACGGTGATTAATTTAATCTTGCCCAAGTACTTTCGATCAATAGATCATCTTCAGGGGCATCTGAAATAAGCCAAGAAACGTTTTTTATAAAAAGGAAAATTAATTCACTTGTTAAATTAAATTAATTAAAAATTAACTTAAGTTTATGGTTGAAAAAAATTTTTATATGTGATAAACGTTTATAGACTTACTTCGTCAATTGTGGCCTATCCGACATAGTAGAATGTCATAAATGTAAAATTTGGACATAACAATACAAAATACAATACACTAAGACAAACAAACACTTTAAAATTTATATGGAGAAGCTACATATTGTATAGAAGCCGGAGACAGAATGGGCTCCCGGTCTGACGGAAATGTAGAGATGACATGTGACAAATGACAGCTGGGCAGTTATGTGATCTGCACCTTTCAAAATTCTATGACACTAAGTATTGACCAAAGGTCCAACTGACACCACTATAGGAAATCGACTGATGAAATATAAAATTATATGGTATATTTTTTATGTAGATTGAATAATCCCAATCTCACACTCAAACCTGTCTATAATAATTAGGACGTTGGTTTGAGAGCAATTGAAGTTGACATAAAGTATGAATGTGAGAAAAGACTAACAATATATTAGACAGTGGATGGTTGACTACAATAAAATGGTCCACCAAGCGCTATCAGTACTGTAAAAAAGAAAAATCTGAATATGCAGTTAAATTACTAAAAGTTAAAATCAAAATTGAAGACAAAATATATAAATGTGTTATAGTCCACGTAGTTCAGTTGAATCCACAGTCAATGGAAGAACTTTAAAATTAATATTGAAATATTCAGTGCATGAAGTCTAAACAGTCGAGCTGGGTCCTCTACGAGGTGAAGCTGTAATAAAGTTTTTAAATATAGGATTAAATTTAGTACAATTTAAATTAATTTGAGTATTAAGACAGTGAGAGTTTTCATTTGTTTCCCTTGTAATCTCCAAATCTTCCAATAAATCCAACTCAAGATAGTTTTTCTTTCTGCTAATGTCATGTAAGATAGATGAACCAGAATTGATGTTAAAATTGTGGTTGCTGGATACTAAGTGTTGACCAAAACTTGAAGAATTTGGTCTTTTCAAATGTTCAGAGACTCTAGTGGATAACTTTCTGATGGTTCTACCTACATAAGATGCATCACAATCATCACATTTTAATTTCTAAATACCACTTTTATCAAGTGTATTCATCCTATCTTTGGTATTGATTAAGAAGGAACCTAAAGTGTTATGTGATTTAAAGGAAATTTTGATGTTATCAATTGTAGAAGAAAAAAGTTTAGATATTTTATTGGAAATGCTACTAATATAAGTGAAGGAGAAATATCTGATGTTATCTGAAGCATTCGGTTGGGAAAACTGTGAAGAATATGCAAGCTTTTCTGCAATTTTTAGTTTAGCTCTATTTAGAAGTTTGTATATAATGTTGGGATCATAGCCATTATTGAAAGCAATCTGCTTAAGAGTATTAAGTTCTGTATTAAAATTATCATCAGAGAGAGGAAATTTAAGTAACTGATGAATGTAACTGTTGAAAGCAGCCATTTTATGTTGAGTTGGGTGATTAGATGTTCCATGTATAACGTGATCTGTTTGGGTGGGTTTTCTATAAATGTTGTACTCTAAAGAATCTTTCTTACGGGAAATAGTCATATCCAAGAAGTTCAACTTATTGTCAGATTCTGGTTCCAGAGTAAAAGAGATGTTAGGATGGAGGTTATTAAGATCATCCAGAATCTGTAAAGCATCATCTTGGGTTCCCTGTATGAGAGCTATACAATCATCAACATATCTAGACCAAAAAACTATTTTGTTGTTGTTATTAACAAACTTCTGTTCTAAGCTATCTAAGAAAATATCAGCTAGAAAAGATGATAATGGAGATCCCATTGCTAAACCTGTTGGTTGTTTATATATTTTTTGATTGAATTGAAAGAAGTCCTGATCCAGACAGAATTTAAGCATAGTTAATATAGCATCTTTATCCTTTGCAGATATGTTGCAATTGTCTAGAAGGTTGTGTACTAAAGGTAATGTTTCATCTCTTGGTACAGAAGTAAACAAATTGGAAACATCAAAAGAAACTAAATAAAATATTTAGGTAAATACCAAATAATAAATAGGTGAATAATCACCAAAAACTGGTGATATTTCATTTTATCCTTGCCATACGCTATTTGTTCAATTGTAATTTTTTAAGATGGCAAGGAAATTAAACTCCTCTTGATGTGTCTCTAATGCAAGCTATTCCTTTTATGTTTTAGTTTATTGCCAATATTAACAACTTATTGGATTTATTGGACATATTAACAACTTTATTGGGAGTATTTACAACTTTATTGGACTGAATACGAGATACAACCACATGTGATTGCAGCTCCCCAAAAACTACCACATTCAATGGGAGGACCTAGCAGCTGAAACACACAAGTAGCCCATCGATCGAAGCAATAAGTATCACTTATTAATTGTTAAGCTTTGGCAGGGTTAATTATTGTGTTTTTTTATTCTTTTAAATAAATATGTTTGGTTAAAATTTGTCTTATTTGCTATCAACTGAGAACTCAGGCTCAATCCCTATTTTAAGACTAGGCGAACTCACCCTTGAGATACTGTTCTAAGCAAGGTATAGACGATAAGCTCCCATGGTTGATTGAGGTATTATTTTTAGAATAGTACTTCAATTCTCTTCGGTAGTCTTATCGTTACAAGTGATAATTAACCGAAGCATAATTGTAATAATATTAAACATTAACATGAGATATTTTTTTCGCCATCTTCATGAGAATACTCAGCTTAATACCATTAGAATAAACATCTTAAAATTTCAATATTATATACAGCACGATATTTTTATAAATAACGTTTCTAACTTTGTTAATTAAACTATTTTTTTCAAGTATATAACGAATTTAAAACAACGTTGAATTGATTTGAAGTTATCAAATACATAAGTTGTAGTAAATCGAACATTCATCAATCAGACTATTTACCATCTTCCATTTGGCACACTTCTGGATGTGCATAATATAAAAAAAAATAATATTTTACCTGTTCATTTCAGCCTGCAATGCCTCATAGTCCCTTCTCGTACTAGCGATCAGCTCGTCCTGTTCTAACATCTGCTCCTTAAGTTTCTCTACATACTGGCTCTGTTGATTAATTTCTTCATCTTTCTCATCCAGTTGTTGGTATAATCGTTCTCTTTCCAATTCCAATTTGTTTCTTTCTTCTAAACCTAACGTGGAGCCGATCATTAGAGCCGGTGTGGCAGGAAGAGGACCGGAAGGTTTCTCCGCGATGACACTTTCTTCCATTCCTGATACTGGGGTAACTGCGTCGGATATTTCGTTGAGATTTACTTGTTCTTCTACTTTCACCTGAAATTTTTAATTGTTTAAAAATCTGACAGAAAGGTTGTTTAGATACATAAATGAAGAGATTAAATTTAGAACACAAATAAGACATTAAATCACATAAATCTGACATGAATGATCAACAGTCATGAAAATATTAACAGTCATTGTGAAAATAACACCAAATTTTACTGACCATAAATAAAAATTAAGGAAAATATATCAAATCCAATGAGCATTAGACAAAGACTAACACTTCTAGTAGTGAATTAATATAGTATAGTATATTAATAGTATAGTATAGTATATTAATAGTATAGTAATTGGTAACAAAACGTAAAGTGCTGTCAAACCAAATTTTTTTTATAAAAGAATTTGGATATTACACATACCAGGCCAGAAAATAATTGTGCGGTAGGAAAAACATGCGAAAAACTCGTTGTAGAGAGACGTAAAAAGAAAAAAAAATTGAATTAAAATCTGAACTTACCGTTTCTCCACTTCGCCACCTGTTGAGTTCGTCCTCTAATTTTTCTAGTTTTCCCTTCAATCTCGCCACCTTTTCCTTTTCCCTTTCGTATCTTCGTTTCCATTCTTCTGCTGTTAATTCTTCGTTGACACAGACAACGTTCTTTACAGTTTTCGCTCTGGAAAACCACATTTTAAATCAGGCATAATTTAAAATTTAATAATAAATTCATCCTTATCAATGTCAAGATATAATTGAAACCTTCGAATTAAGGAGATATAGGGCAAATATCAATAATTTTATAAAAGAAACTTACAAATTCCAGAACCTACTTTAGATCATTTGATGTTAACAGTCAAATATGACAGCTAAGCACAGACATATAAGAAATATTTATATAACTTTAAAAAAAAAATTGTGAGTAACACAGACCATCGAAGTTTTAAGATTATAAATAATAAATTCAGTGACATTTTTGTGAATTTTTTACAAAATATCAATACCTCTTTCCACCAAAAATACTCAGATGTAGAAAGAAATGAATGGACCAATGCAATTGTTAGACAGGTCTATTCGACTCTGCATTTAGGGTCCTAGTCAGTCATTGCAGTGCCCTTCAGTAACAGTATCGTTAGTTAGTGGTTAGGGAGCGTATAGCAAAGAGGTTCCAGGATTACATGGCCGGTAGTGGCATTCCAATGGCACCTCTAATGTAAAGGTATGGTTCAGAGACCTGAACTATAACAAAAAGTAATACGTTAGGATTTTTCGAACGAAAAGTACTACGGCTATGGAGCGGTGAATGACTATGGAGTGTGGAGAAGACATTACAGAATATACCAGGAACCGTATATCGCAAAACATGTTAAAATAGAACATCTTCGTAGATAGGTCATGTAATGCTGATGGAACAAACTCACCCAGCTAGAAAAACCCTCCTTAATAGATCCACTGGTCAGAGAAGACGGGGCAGATCCAAAAAGAAGTTCCTTGATAACATCGATGAAGACATCGGAAATATGGGAACACGTGATTGGTGGAGGAAGGCGATGAATACGGACGACTAGAGAGATATTTTTGAGGGGGCTAGGACCCAGACAGGGTTGCAAAGCCAGCAAGAAGATAATAAGTGGAGCTCCAATCAGAGGGAGCCTTACAGAAGTAAAAAAAGAGGTTAAATCTGTGTAAGTAGGTATATTTAAAAAACCCTTAAAAGGGCTACGTCAAATTAACAAACGTTTACGGAATAATAATTCCACCATCAGGTTAAAAGCCTAAAATAAGTATGAACCAAATAATTAAATGGTTTAGATAATTAAATAATTAAATAAAGACAATCTAGACAGCAAACGAAATTGAAAAGAAGAAAAAATGTTGATCACAGTTACAAAGACCAAAGTAAAAAAAGGAAGAGGACAACATGATTTATTGAAAATGTAAAAAACGAAGAAGAGAATATATGGAAAGGAGAAGTAGAGAAGGGATAACAACCCTAAACAGGAGGGCGTATAAAATATGCATAAGACAAAAATGAAAATTCAAAAACGATGAGATACAGACAATAGAAAAGAACCTTCAAAGTAACGATATAATAGAGACATATAAATATCGGCCCTATATCTTCCCTTCACTTTACATACACTAAATAAATATCAGTTCGATTTTTAAATTATTGTTTCTGTTTCCAATAGCAGTAGTGCTCACCTTTTACCAAACTCTAACGTCGATTTAGTTTCAGATTCGTTAAAACTAGCAGGAGAACAACAAATAACGATCGTCGTCCTGGCGTTACCTCCGAGCGATTCCTGAAGGATTCTCGTTAGTTTAGAGTCTCTGTAAGGAATGTGAGTTTTGTTACCATCCGCTAATGCACTAATTACGTTTCCTAAAGCCGACAGAGACTTGTTAATGTTTTTAGCTTCGTCCAAAACAGTACCTGCAATGATAATATTATAAATAACACTGCGCATTTTCTATTTATATTTTTGCATAAAAAATATATACACAAAACAGCACAATGATTTTACACATAATTTTTTATAGTGAAATATTTTCCCGTATTTTCTTCTTCTTCATGTACCATGTCCTTTCAGAACGTTGGTTACCATCATAGCTATTTTAATTTTATTCACTGCCACCCTAAACAGCATGCTTGTATCTACACCATACCAATCTCGCAAGTTCTTCAACCATGAGGTTCTTCTTCGTCCTGGACTGCGTTTGCCTGCTATTTTTCCTTGCATGATATTTTGTAGCAATCTATATTTGGGACCTCTCATTACATGTCCGAAATATTCCAGCTTTCTCTGCTTGATGCTTTTTATGATCTCAGTAGTCTTGCTGAGACGTTCAAGTATTGTGGAGTTACGAATCTTCTCCACCCAGGAAACTTTTAAAATTCTTCTATAGCACCACATTTCGAAAGCCTCAAGGCGATTTAGATCGATTTTATTCACAGTCCAGGACTCGACAGCATAAAGTAAGACCAAGAACACGTAGCAGCGAAGTAGGCGGATCCTTAATGCCAGTTTTAGGTCTCTGTTACATAACACCTTGGACATCCTTCTAAAAGCAGCTCTAGCCTGCTCTATTCTGGATCTAATTTCGCCGTGATTTTCTGCATTACAATTTAATTGCTGTCCAAGGTAGACGATTTTATCAACTTGCTCAAGTTTGGTATTATTTACATATATAGACGATTTTATATTCTGTTGTTTACTTATTACAAGTATTTTGGTTTTCCTTATGTTCAGATCAAGACCTGCCTCCCTACAACTCTCAACGACACTATCAAGTAGTGTTTGCAGATCTTCTTGACTAGAAGCTAGGAGTACTGTATCGTCCGCATATCGCAAATTATTGATGACTTCGCCGTTCACAAGTATTCCTTCTTGTTTTTCAGAAAGCGCTTTTCTGAAAATTCTTTCGGAGTAAACGTTAAAAAGCAGGGGTGACAAAAGGCAACCCTGTCGTACTCCTCTTTTAATATTGAGAGCTTGTGATTCCACACCATCTACTAAAACTGATGTTATTTGATTCCAATATAAATTTGCAATTATTCGAACATCTCTGCCGTCCAAGCCAATGTCTTTTAGAGCTTCGATTAATATAGAGTGCTTAACACGATCAAATGCCTTTTGAAAGTCAATAAAACAACAGTATATGTCTACAGATATATCCCATCTTTGAGCAAGTACGTTCATTCCAAACAGTGCCTCTCTCGTTTCAAATCCGTTACGGAAACCAAACTGAGTGTCATCCAGGTATTCCTCACATTTAATGTAGATACGACCATGTATTACCTTCAGAAAAATTTTCAATAAGTGGTTTAACAAACTGATCGTTCTATAATCAGCACAGGTTTTTGCTGTTGTCTTCTTAGGTAGAGCTATAAACAGTGAGTTAGACCAACCATTAGGTAGTTGTCCGCTGGTATAAATGGTATTGAAAAACGAAGTTATAGCCTCTAAAACATTGCTATCCTTTATAAGCTTATATATTTCAGTTGGAATTTCATCACGACCAGTCGCTCTGCCATCTTTTGATGATTGTATGGCCTTTATAACCTCACAGCGTGTTATTAGGGGTCCGTCGCAGTTAGTAATATCGGGAGGTGAACTACTCCTATCGTCTTCGAATAGGTTCGTGACGTAATTTTCCCATTCTTTAAGTTTGTCCTCTACTTCGAATATTACTTTACCATTTTCATCCTGTAGCAATGCATTTTGTTTCTTATTGAAGATACCAGCCGCTTCTTTTACTTTTTTATACATGTTAAAAGTGTCGTATCTTTTTTCGAGTTCTTCAATGTCATGACACTGTTTGGCTAGATGTTGACTCTTTGCTTCTCGTATTTTACGTCGAATTTCTTTTTGTATGGTAAGTATGTATATGTATTTTTGCTAGTCGCCGTTGTTCCATCAAATCCAGTATATCATCTGTCATCCAAGCCTGCTTTTTTGGCTTTGACCTGCCTTGTAAATTTCTCACACAGATTTCTTTTACTGTCGTTACGATTTTATTTAAGCCCTCATCGACGTTTTCACCAATATTTTCCCAAATTAAATTTTCGTTCAGTTGTCTTTGAACTGATTCCTTAACTTTCTCGTCTTGTAGTTGGGCTGTATCAATCTTTTTGCGAGACTTCTTTTTGATCACCTTTTTTAATTTTAATTGGGTTACAGCTACTATGGGATTGTGATCGGACCCAATGTCAGCACCTGGATAAGTTTTAACTGATTTGATGCAGTTTCTAAATCGATTTTTTATTAGAATGAAGTCGATTTGATTCCTAATAATTTTGCCCTCTGATTCTGCATTTGACTTCCAGGTGTAGAGTCTTCTCGGTGGTAGTTTAAAATGGGTATTCGCTATAATGAAATCGTGTTCTTGACAGAACTGGACAAGTCGATCCCGTATTTTGAAACATGTTATTTGTTTGTATATTTTAGCCATCTAGCATCACAATAAACAAATCGCTCAGTATTCTGTAACAAATTGAACATGCAAACTGTTCAGTATTTCTAAAAGTAATTGAAATCAGACTCGCAACTTGCAAAAAATTTCATAAAATTTAATAATATTTATATTCATATAAAGATAATTACGGACTATTAAACTTTGACATCCAACACACTAATCAAGTGTTGTCATTACCAAAAACGGTCCTGATCGAGAGGGGAGTAAAACCGCGGATTTATGGCTTGTCCGTAAAGCTGGACAGTGTATTATTATAATACCCTGGTTTTCAATACCGACGAGCATGTCTATTATGTTTGTCATATTTTTTACTTGGCTCGTCATGTAAAACAGTTTTTTTTAATGCACCGTAAATAGTTCTCCATATCGATAGAATAATACTTCCCAAAGTTGGCCTAGATATTACAAAAATATATTGCAAACTTCTTTGGGTACTAAAAACCTGTTTGTGTACGTGAAAAAATGATCAGATATTTGATTGTAGCTGTCAAACGTGCATGAGGAAAAATATTTTAGGTGTCGCTAAAGACATGTTTTTCAGACATTCTCAGAAAATTTCTGTAATCAAGTGGTTCTATTAGCATTTCTTGAATTAAATGGGTATGCAGCAATTTCTCTCCAACTTTTAACCCAAACTCTAAAGCGTTTTTACTACTACTACTACTATCGGTTTACAGCGTTCTCTGACGCCTTCCGACTCCTAACCGCCATTCTTCTCTATTTAACCAAAGGCCTAGAGGGATTTCTCTTTCCTCTAGTTCTTTTTTAATTCCCTCTCTCCAGCTTCTTATCGGCCTTCCTATTTTCCTTCTCCCTTGTGGTGTCCACGTCGAAATCTGTTTCGGAATCCTGTCCACTGGCATTCTCTGTACATGGCCGTACCATATTAACTGTTTTGTTTTTATGTCATCAACTATTATATGCTTGACTCCCATCATTTCTCGTATTCTTGCATTTGGTATCCGATCTCTTCTTGATTTGCCTGAAGTTCTTCTCCAGAAGTCCATTTCTGTTGCTAGTAACAGTTTCTCTGTTCTTTGTTTCATTGGCCAAACTTCACTGTCATATGTGATTACACTTTTAAGTATGGTGTTTATATGAGTTGTTTGTTCGCTTTAGATATTGTTTGGTCCCACAGAATGCCGTTCATCATGGATATGGCTTTTCTACCCTGTATGTTTCTTTCTTTTATAGCAGCATCGAGTGTTCCATCTTGAGTTATCTTCATACCCAGGTACTTGTATTCATGACAGTGTCTAATTTCTACCCTATCGTCTAATATAATGGACTGCTTTGTCTCTACAACACACATGGCTTCAGTTTTCTTAATGTTGACTTCGAGACCCCATTTGTTATATTCTTCTATTAGCTTCCGAGTCATGTAACTTAAGTCGTCATGATTCTAAGCAATCAGTATTTGGTCATCAGCGAAACATAAGGTGTACAGTGTAGTCTCGTCATTGAGAGGGATTCAAAAGCGTTTTTACTTCTTTTTTTATTATTTCGTGCTTAAGTTCAACTTTCATTCAAACACAACTGATTTGCTTGCTAGTCTATTGGGCCGCTCGTCTACCGACGAGCCACGAGTAAAACCGACGTTCTTCAAAAACCTCGGTTTACACTCTACATCAATCACCCCCTTTATAGTGAGTTGGTGCGAATTTAGAAAACATGTATACAGGAGATTCTTATTAGAATAAACAATTAACGACAGTAAACCCATATACACTTAACATTGTGAATATTTCGCAAAATAATACTTATGAAATATCTCATTTTAGTTTTTTTTTTATTTCAATTACTAATCTATTTATCTAATCAACTAAGAATATCTATCTTTGGACGCAGGCCTTTCCTCGTTTTCTCAGAGTTTTCTATCTTTCGCAATTTCCATCCATCTCAGTTCAGCATGTTGTTTTATGTCAACTGACTCCGTAAGTTGTGGTCTTCCTCTTTGACGTTTATAATTCCAAGGTCTCCAATGCATAATTATGTTATTTCATCTTAGGCACGCCCACCAAATTTCCAATTAAGTTTTTCTACTTTGATGGAGATGTCTTTTACTTTTGTTATACTACGATTCCAGCTGCTCCTTTTCCTATCTGACAGCCTAATGTTTAGCATCTGTCTTTCCATAGATCTTTGAGTTTTCGCTAAAGATTACAACTATGAAGGGTCTCAGCCTAACGAATTGACAACTTTACAGATCTATTGTACTTCCCTTTGTCACTTAAAGCTCGTCATCCAGTCCTATTCTCTTAATGAGCTTTCAATCTTGAGAATTGTATTCAGAATGGTTATTAGTTTTAAGCCTCACAAATTAAATCCCGTTGAATTAAAAAAAATTGTTTACAGGAAAGCAGAAAAGTGTCTCCCAAATTAAAAAGCTCAAAAAATACACCTCAAAACCTTCTTAAAAATAAATAGAAAAAAGGATAAAAAATATAAATATAATAGTTTTTTTTTAAATTGTCTTTTTTTTTCAAATTTAGAAAGTCAAAGTCCCCTTACTACTACAGTTTTTCAAAGTCCCCTTACTACTACAGTTTTTCAGTCTAGTTTTGTAAATGTAATCGAGCGCTTGTTTTAACAGTTTTGGTGACCTGATGTCTCCCTGTCTGACTCCTCGGTTTGTTTTAATTGGTTCAGTTTGTTCCATAAGCCTGACAGATGTTGTTGCTTTGTGGTTCGGTAAGATATTTATTATTGTCCAAGGTTTTACTGTATGGAATGATTTTTCAAAATCCACATGGGATATTGATTTTCTTTTTTCCTCATTGAACATACAAAGGTATATGATATCCAATTGCTTTTTTCCTCATTGAGTTAACCTCGTTGTTAAAACTTAAGTTAGTAGTTTACACATGACGTTCAGTATAGTTGCGTTTGGTCTGTTACAATCTGTTATCGATCCCAGCTACAACTTTGAAGAAATTTTTTTTGTCCACTTTGTATATCATAAAAATTTCAAAAGGTTTTTATTTAACATATATCTAATTGGGTCTTAAAAACTTCGAAGAGAGTAAACATAATCCACTTATTTATTTACATTGGCAAATGCCGTTAAGCGAAGCCAATCCCTATTTCTTTCTTACTTAACGAATTTTCTCTCAATCCCGCATGAATTTTAAAATAAAATCTGAACGACATGATCAGAACGGACGAGAAGGTTGAAGGTTAAAGAAAATTGCGTTTGAATTAAATTTTAAACTGGTAAAACTCCCCGTGTCGTTTCGGGGAGTTTGAAATATCATTCCGATTCTGGCATCTCTTGTTGACAAAATGATGAAACATGTCTAGCTGTTTTTTTTTATTTAGTCTTGGTATTTATATTAGAGGAAATTAACAAAAGCTAAACAATCGCAAAAAACATCTCCAAATAGTAAATGTAATGCGATATTATAGTTCAAAAATAAGGAAAAAATGACTTACCTTCTGCTCCTGTTTTCGACACTTTTTCGGAACCAGCCAAATCTACTAAATAAAGTTTCCCTGATAGTTTCTTTTGGTTTTCTAAATTTTCTTGTTTAACATTTATTAAAAATACTGAATGAGACCTAGACGAATGTTCGTTCATATCTGAAACAAAGAAGTTTTAAAGTATCCACGTGTTGTAAAATTAATAACATTAAAAATAATCAAATTCGTTACGAAACATGGAGGAGGGAGAGGAGAGAAAACGAAAGAGATTGGAGAATAGTAAAAAAACACTCTCAGATTGGTCAATCTCATATAAAATATTTTCAATTGAAAACAACTAAAGTTTTCATGGTAGCATAGTTTCTGTGATACACGGTTAGTTAAAAATATCCAGCATATTTTCAAATCAAACCATACTCAACAAGTTGACATTCGGGAATGGTCATCAAAACGCATTAGGATAGGCGACCCTCAAAACTGTTTGAAAATCATGGCTTTTGTAATGAAATTGCCAAAATTGCTAAATCAACGAAGGATATTTAAGAAGATTCGTATATAGTCAACAATATTAAGGCATTCATTATGTTTTATTGTAAGAGAGGGGGAAAATCAGCATCTTGTCATCTATCTTGCATAATATTTACATACCATACTTCCCGAAAGATATCCTAACTGATATAAGACTATACATTGAAGACATCCACGAAGAAGAAACAGACTTACACCCAGTCACTCTATTAAATGCAGTTCTAGTATGGAGTTATACAGTTGATTGAATATCCGAATATTCAGATTCAAACTGTTTAAGTAACACGTATTACGTTCTCTTGTTCTCTAATTCAGTAGCTACTACCATGAATTGGTTGTGTAGGAGTGGTAGGTAATGTAACCGCACGTCTGTCTACGATCGTTCTTCTGCGAGAGCAAATACATATCTAGTTGTTTCCCGAAATAACCACTAGAGTCGCTAATCATTGACAAGCTAATCATTGAAATTTTAATTTTTCGGGAGGTAAAGATAACACGCTTTCATGTAGGAAACCCAGGATTTATTCAGACATTCAATCAATGGTTATACAGAAGACACCTAGGGATAGACACTTTAGACACAGATAAGACTTTGTAGAAACATCAAATCTGTAGACCTATATGGGGTGTTTTTTAAACAAACTAAATCAATTTATTAGTATGAAACTCTCAAAACTTAAGTAGCACGTAATAACTTTTTATTGATAATTCAGTTCAAAATTTTATGTGTACTAAATCACTTACTTGTTACAGCGATGTGCCTATTAGATTTTCCTTCTTCTATAGATTCGAACACCTCTTCGGGGCTTGAGACAAACCTTTCGGTTGCCCCTTTGACGAAGGGTACCCGATTTTTGTCTTCGTGAACACTTAAATTAACTTTTGAGACTAAAAATACAAAATAATTAGTACCAAAATCAATTAGAGCGAGCTAGAATCTTACCATCTAATAAATCTCTAATTTTATCCATGTAAATTTCAAAATATGATACTTTAATGTGAAATTCTAAATTTTCTTCCATAGCGTAGATGTGATTAAATATGTCATTTACTATTCTTGGAATGATTCCCTGTTTCTGGGGATCACCTGAAAATTAAGGTACCTAATGTATTAATGAGCTTCTATATTTTAAATGTTAAGTTAAAAAATATGAAATATTGTATATGTAGCGTTAGAAAATATAAGAAAGGATAAATAAAAGTTCGAAGAAATTAAATACGAACATATTTAATTATATAGCACCAGAAATACCCATCATGCCCTATTATGCAGTTTATTTAAGAGAATTCCCTATATCACACCACCCATCCTGCAGAACATTTGCTTGTGTCTTAGTCTGTTTAATTAATCCTCTTCAGTAGGTTCACTCACGCAATCCTCTTCACTAGGCTCTAACAATGGAAATTCCACCACGACCGGTAAATGGATTTAATGAATTTTATTGATCTCATGATAATCGTAAAAAATGGCAAAAATTGCGCAACGTTTATTTACGAACAGATTTATAGAAACTGACTTTACTTTTGGCAAAATACAAAGATTGTATACAAAGGCTACACTTTACATACTTAAAACGCATTTTGATTGTTTCGGCAAGAATGGTACATTATACGAAAAAAAAGTTATAAACATTTTGTGTTTAAAATTATCTAAGACACATTTTTTATTTACATTTTTTTTCTACGCCATACAGATTCTTGGTAAATCGATTTTCAACCTGGGGGGGCGTTCTAGGGGGAAGCCGGGAGGTAGGAGTGGTTAACATCTTTGCATATTTTTTGGGTCCCAAAATTGGCATTCTCAGCAAAACTCAGCTTGTTCGTGTGATTTTTAGAAGACAAATCTCTGACTACTGGACTATAACTTTGATGTAATGTTGTCTAACCGTGGTCATTTTCCATTTTTTAGTTTGTTGATTGCATAGCTAATCTCCGTGATTTTTGAGACTTCTCTGTTATTGATCTTATTTAATAGTTCTTTGAAATTTTCTTCCCATCTCTTTGGGATTTCTTCTTGGTCATTTATTCATCATCATCATCGTTGGCTCCACAACCCATGGTGGGTCTTGGCCTGCTTAATGATGAGTCTCCATTCTCCCCTATTCTTCGTATTGGTTTTCCAGTTTCGTACTCCCAACATTCTTGTCTTCTTCCACCTGATCCTTAAATCGTGCTCTGGGTCTGCCTCTCCTCTCACTCCATGTATTCTTTGTTTATAAAGTTTTCTTTATTAATTTCTTGTTATAATTAATTCTTTATTATAAATATGTTTTGACATTTCCATCTCATTCATTCTCTCTATGTAATCTAACCACCGCAGCCTATTTATTTTGATGGACCTAATAATATCAGGTTTATCATACAGGCGGTAAAGTTCGAAATTATAGCGTCTACGCCATAATTTGCCCTCCTGTACTCCACCATAGATATACCGGAGGATTTTACGTTCAAAGCATCTTAAACGTTCTTCATCGCCCTTTGTCATCGTCCATGTTTCCGACGCGTAGGTGAGGATGGGCTTGATATGAGTTCTGTATATCACTAGTTTCATTCATTTTGAAACTAGGCTTGTTGTTAAAAATTTTCTTAATCCATAATAGGCTCTATTTGCCAGATATATCCGTCTGTTAATTTCTGCACTTACTGCATTATTCTGATTAATTTGTGAGCCTAGTATATAAACTCTCTTACTCCTTCCAAAGTATATGTTCCGATCGATAGATCTTCGGGTTGTGCTGCTTTTATATAATTTGATACTTTCATATACTTAGTCTTACTAGTGTTAACCTCTAGTCCTATTCTTTTTGTTGCTGCTTCAAGCGCCTTAATGATTCGACCACATCCGCCTTTCTTCTAGGAACAATGTCGATGTCATCGGCGTACGCTAGTAATTGTACGCTGAGATTAATAATAGTTCTTCTGGTTGTTATTCCAGATTCTGTTATCGCTTTCTCTAGTGCAATATTGAATAGAAGGCATGCTGTCTCCTTGTCTAAGTCCTATCTGAGACTGGAACGTTCTGGAAACTCCGTTCTGCACTCTTACTTTACACTCGACTCTTGAGAGGGTCGCTTTCCGCAATTTTACTAAGTGTACTGGGATGCTAAATTCTATCATGGCCTTGTACAGTGCATTTCTTTCAACACTATCATAGGCACATCTAAAATCAACAAACAGGTGATGAGTATCAATGCCATACTCATATATTTTTTCCAGAGCTTGCCTTAGAAGGAATATTTGATCGGTCGTTGATCTTTCTTTACGAAACAAAGGTCGTTGGTCATTTATTATGGTTCAGTATTTACTTATACACATAGGTAGTCTAGGTTTTTGGCATTTTGTTTAGTTCCTAGTGAAATTTTCTCGTCTCTGGTCTGTTGCTAAGAGTTTCCAAGTTCCAACAGATAAAAAATCATTATTGAAAATCTCAAAAAAAGAATTATATAGGACAGTCAGCAGCCGCCTACAATCCCGACTGTGATTAGTTGTGATGTTTTCTAATTAATAGAAAGTAATACTAAAATAAAAAAAAATGCAAGAAATATAGTTAATTATTTAAAAATATAGCTCTTACCTAAGACACCTTCCATCGTATGTGTTTTACCAGACGATGTCTGCCCATACGCGAATATGGTGCCGTTGAATCCGGATAGAACATCAGTGACGATACTTTTCGCTGCTTCATTGTATACTTTTTCTTGTGTTGCATTTGGTTTAAAAACTTTATCGAATAAATATACTTTGCCCTAAAAAAAAAAGAGTACATAAATAAATAAAGGAAATTCATTCTATACAAACATAAAGTTAGCTTTATTGTGTCGCACAAGAGGGAAATCGTGATAGATTGGGTATCCCAATATCTTCTTTACGTGCGATACCAAGTTCCCGTGCCGTATCCTAATAAGGTAAAGATGACAATTAAAAACCGATTTTAAGAGATAATACACTCTTTAATAGAAACGTATACTAAAGAGTTTTTATACAATTATTTTATTCAAGGGTAATTATGTTTTTCATGCGTTAAAAAATATGTTTTCAACAAAAATACAAAATAACGGCGCTCTAGCCATTTTCATGAGTTAATTTATATTATAACTTAATTTATTTTTATTGCAATTTACAATTATAGCATTTTTATTTTCTCTCATATGTATTGAAATCACCTCTATGTGTTAAAACACCGAAATACTATTTTCAATCCTTTTGCATCGCTGGAATTTATAATAAACACATTTTAAAGTTTGTTTATAGAGGGTGGTCCTTAAGTAATTGTACAAAAAGAAACCGTAGATTCTGCACTTTAAAATATTACGATTAAGGTCAACTTGCTTTAGTAAAATGTTGATATTAAGAAAGATACAGGGTGTTGAAGTGGAAATTAAAAATTTTATTTTCCCTATAACTTTCAAGTTTGTAAATATTTATGGACAAAAATTTACAATTAGATGCTTTTGAGTAGGAGCAATTATAATTTGATGCATAATTTGATGTAGCTGATAGAGGGCGCAACATATGTGGCATAAATTTGCGCTTAATTTTTTTTCTCTTTAAGTTAGCCCTATTTTTATTAAAAAATATTAAAGACACATTATTTTTACACAGAAAAGGTAAACTTGTTAATAACTTCAAAATTCAACCGTTTTCGAGATAATCACATTTTATAAGTCAGCTGCATAATAATTCTTAGTTGTGATAATTTTGCGGTAAAGCACTGAATACCTGTGAATAAGCATAATTATTAGTTCGTTCTTATTAAAACAACTCAAATATGATAATGTAATATCCCGAAATAATTTGTTATGGTTACTAAATGTCTCATTGGAGAGAAGCTTCTATCTTCTTCTTTGAATGCCATGTTTGTATTCAGAAGTTGGCCGTCATCATGTTTACAATTTCCTTTATATATCGCTTTTACAAGTTTCTATGCTGGCGTTGTATTACTTTTTCTTTATTGTAAAATCTTTAGGTGAGCGTCACGGAAGAAGCGCTACGAGACGTCATCACAAGCGTTACGTGACGTCGTAGCGCTCACGCTATGGCGTCACGTTTAACGTTAGTTGTCAATAAATTCCTTTCAAACTATAATTAAATTGTATTTTTAAACGTCTTATTTATTTAATATAATAATTAAATTTACTATCAAATTAATGATCGAATATAAAATTTATATTTCAATAATAACTTAATCATCACTTTACGCCTAATCACTTTAATCGTCACTTTGACGGGTCTGTATTTTGTCGATGCTGTTACGTAAAAATAAGTCATATTAAAAAACCTGTAAACATGTTGTTTATTCACTAATATGTTGTAGATTCTACGAGACCCTTCGATCAGCTGGCAGAAATCTAGTTGAATCAGTCGCTCCCCTACGATTCGAAGTTTCCAGAAACCGGTCGAATGACGACCCAGCCGATTTACTTTCTAGTATAATCAGAGGGATTCGCCTGAACTCTCGAATAACTGTATTTTCATATATAATAACGGAGCTTTCATTGCGGGAGCAGTTAGTCAGTGAGAAGATACATTCGCGATCGAGTATTTAAATGTAACGATCGTAATAATAAATTATTGTAAGATAAATTATTATAAATAAACTTTAAATAAATTAAGTTTGTAAGTGTTACAAATATTGAACCTTTGGTAAATTAAATTAAGAACAATAAATTAGAATTAATAAAAACATTTTAATACGTTAGAAGGTGGCGCTACTAGCAAACTTAATTTATTGAATTATTTTAATATAATATAATTTGTTAATAAATAGATATAATATAAATAATAAATAAATAATAAAGTTACTTTATTAAATGTTAAAAATATTATTACATGATATGAAGGTAAGTGCCAGTCTACAGTGTCAGCTATTGTATCTACCACGTTTTTTTTTTGAAGGCAGTTTTAATGCCAGTAGACAACCCCAATGCATTACGAGAAATTTTATGGTAGGCTGATGTCACGAATGCTTTTGACAACTAAAAATAAGTCTTGTTTTGTTTAATCAGTGATTTTTGCAATATCTAGTCTATTTTGGTTTGTTAAAGAAAAGCAGAAAATGCCAAGGCATAATAATTTTTCTAATATAAATATGAGAGATATGATTGCTATTTATTGTCAGCAACACTTTAACGGACGAGCAGCGAAAAGGCAATATTTAAGAAGATACCCAAACAGGCTGCAACCCTATCACCAAACATTTGAACATCTATTTCGAAATTTAGGCGAAAGTGGTTTATTTCGTCCTAAACGTGACAACTTAGGTCGACCAAAAATCATTACACCTAATCAAGAAGTTGAAGTAATGGTTCGCGTTGACGATAATTCTATTTTTTTGACACATGACACATTTTACACATGTGCAAAATCTATTACCAGCAGATTTACCTTTAAGATGCAGATTTGCAAACGATATCCGAAACAGGCAAAATCTTGACAACTCTTTCGTCGATAGAATATTATTTACGGACCAAGCTACATTCACAAGCCATGAAGGAACAATCATTTCTGCGATACTAAAAATCCCCACGTTAAGAGAGAAAGGCATTTCCAACATGAATTTAAAATAAACGTATGGTGTGAATCATTGGTAATATTTTTTTAGGGCCACGTGAGTTACCTCTTAATTTGAATGGTGAGAACTATTTACATTTTTTACAAAATGAGTTTACTGATTTGTTGGATGAATTGCCATTAAACTTAAGGCAAAATATGTGGTTTATGCAAGATGGTGCACCACCACATTATAAAAGGGCAATGAGAACGTACTTGAATACCAACTTTCCGGAAGGTTGGATTGATCGTGGTAGTCATTTTCCTTGGTCACCACGTAGCCCAGAATTTAATCAGCTAGATTTTGGTGTATGGGGCGCAATCAAACAACGTATCTACAAGAATCCCATAAACACTCGCAACCAACTTTGGGAAGAAATAAATACTGCAGGAGTTTCTATTGAACTGATGAAGCTATTTAATATGAGACGATCTTTTATGGAACATATTGATAAATGTATTGAAGAAAATGGTGGACATATCGAACACTTACTTTGACAAAGAGTTTAATCTTAATTAGTTTAACTATTTCTTAATTTGGTTTGAAAAATAAAATGTTTATGACTTTAATTTAACATAAAACGTAAAATGTTTTGATGTCAAATCCAATTATCCTATTATTTTGTCAAATCATATTATTAATTATCGTGTTGATATATTTATTTTATTTAATATTTCGTTAGCTATTAACTTTACTAAAGATATTTCATACCAAAATTCAGAAGTATTAATGTTTTTGTCTATTTTTCTTTCGTTGCCTGGAGTAATTGCGGTAAATCAGAATTATGCAGTTAATTTGTAAAATGCGATTATCTCGAAAACTATTGAGTTTTAAAGTTATTAATAGGCATACCTTTTTTATGTTAAAATAATGTATCTTTAATATTTTTTATCAAAAATATAGATAACTTAAAGAGCAAAAAAGTTAGGTGCAAATTTATGTCACATATGTGGCATATGTGGCGCCCTCTATCAGCTAAATCAAAGTATACATCAAATTATAACTCCTGATATTCAATAGAGTTGTAAGTTTTTATACATAAATGTTTACAAACATAAAAGTTATAGCAAAAAATACAATTTTAAATTTCCTCTTTAACACCTTGTATCTTTCTTAAGCGCAGGTCCAATGTGGAAAAGACAAACAGAAGACAGAGACAAATAGAGACAAATGGGAGAGGCCTATATTCAACACATGAATAGATTTTGAGCTATAGATAGATAGATCTTTCTTAATATCAACATTTTACTTAAGCAAGTTGAGTTAAATCGTAATATTTTAAAGTACAGAATCTACGGTTTCTTTTTGTACAATTACTTAAGGACCACCCTGTATATCACAGACGCATATTTCTTCATATTTGCATATATGCATATTTTGCGCGTCAAATCAACAGAAATATTCCTGTTTATGTTTTGTTTATACCGAATTGGGTGAACGATTTTTGAAGAAAATGACTCTCAGTGGAGCCGCTGCCATGGGCAGTTGGTTTCGGTGTTGGTCTGAATTTTCATCTAATTCGTAATGGATTTTCGTTTTTCGTCTTTTTTCATGGGAAAATGTGTAGTATTGTGGCAGTTAATTGTGTAGTAAGTGAAGTTAGGTTTGGAAGAAATTTTATATGAGAGCTGACACGGCGTGGGTAGTTTGAAAAAACCGGCAAATTTGTAAAAACTTGTGAATTATACTCGCATGTAATGTGTCAGTTTTCGCAAGAGTAGTCACTGTTTTGTTTCGAGCCGTCTCTCATCTGAGGGATTTGTAAAACGGCGTTTCCAACAAATTTGAAAGATGCCCACATGGTTCCATTGCGTTTAAGTTTTTAAGAAGCCAAGTTTCAAAGTTTGCGTCCCAGTGCGCAGGTTCCATCCTCATTTTGTTTGTCCCAAGTCATTCCAGGCTATTTCGAAGTGTGACATGCAGTTTTTTTGCGTTGCAGTGAATTCGAATGCAGTTTCAACCCCAGAAATTTTAAAAGAAAAAAAAATAACATTTAGTGAAATTCAGGTAACTTTTTTTGTTGAACTTTTAAAGTAAAAATAGACATTTTCCATAAATAATTGCTTTTGTAGCAGGTTAAGAAATTGTAATAAGTAAAATTATAAATGTTAGGGAGTGGCTGTCATATTAATTATTCTTAAAGTTTTAAAATTTATTATTGACATCTAACAACTAGCTTTATTTTCTTGACAATTG